ATTGAAATGTTCCATCCAAATCTTAGATAATCCTGCCTCCACCGTCACTAACTATATTTTTGTGGATATACGTATTCATTTGACAAACTAAATTTTGAAAAAAATGAGGATCATTATCGTGAAACCGAGTCAAAGTTCCTCATGAGTTAGCTTGGCCTCGACTGCATGATTGTTCGAGATCGGCTCATTCGTGAATGAGAATGATAATTTAGGCCACTCAGATTAGAGATTGACAAAAAAAAAAAAGAGCCTCAACTGTAAATTTGATAGTCATTACTTGAAATTAACGCACCTGACAAGTCGAGCTACTGCCTGTACCTAGCACACTGTTTGTTTTGAACACTTCTCCTTTCTATCAGATTCAATGGTTAAGTTCAAAAGTTAATTAGCAAATGAGTTAGGTACGGTACAAGAATTGGGAGGTGAATATCACAAAGAGAAGGTAGAATGGATCAAACTTATTGCAACTTTGTTTTATGGAAATTATTACTTCATTGGAATCAAAGGAAAGGACAACAACTAGTACAGAGAAAGGTCAAGTTTAGGAGAGGATTGAGGGGAACTGAAGTAGAGAGGCTAGAAGCAGCAACCGCATTAGCAAGTTTGTGGGTCGTGACATTACAATGCAAGTTGAAAAAGGATAATCAGAGTCCGATGTTAGAAACCGATTGGGATTAGAAGGGCTCTGATTGACATCTTGGGACAACATTGAGACAGTCTCCTCTTGAAATCAGACCAGTGGCTTCTGAGTCTTAAGGCATGATGAACCGCAAGTTGGAGAGCAAGAGCTGCGGCTTCCTTGGCATAAGAGTTCCTGAGAGCAGCATCCAAAAAGCTAAGTAACGACACTCGTATTGGGGCTTGGAGGAGGATAGGCACCACACGGACTGCGGAATTCGATAGGTCAGGATGTTCCCTGGAGGGGTCTTTGAGACCAAGCATGTAAATATTCAGTATAAGTATTCTGAATTGAGCATGTAAGTTCTTGCGGAGAGGCTGAGGTGTTGTTGTGGAGAATAGAGTTCCTGTTCATCCAGATAGTTTCACAAGTAACAGCACAGTTCTTGATGAAGAGATTTTGGGAGTCCTGGGGAACATTAAAGAGGGTAGACAGGGTCAAGGATGTGAATGAGCCAATATTTTATGTCCAGCTGGAGAAAAGGGTCAGGTTGAGGAGGCCAACTAGAGTTTCTCCACATAATTTGGGCTATGGAACACTCAAAGAGAATGGGATGAAGTGATTCAAAAGAGTTGCTACGAACTAGGCGATTTGGGTTGAGGACAGAAACTCTAGTGGATGAGACTTTCTGATCCCAAGCTTTTCTCCAAAAGAGAAGTTTGTGTCCTGCTTGGATTTTTAGTTTCCAGATGATTTTCTTAAGTTCCAAAATGTGAGGAGAATTAGAAGGGAAACGGTGAGACTAATCTGGCAGATATCCAGATTGAATGAGAGCCTGATCTAGAGTTGACCCAAATAAGACAATCTGGTGAGGAGCACGAGGGAAGAGGGACTGAGTGTGAGCAGTTAAAAGTGATCGGAAAGGAAGTCACTAACTATGAGTTCACCGGGAGAAACGGGCGAAGGAGACGCACAAATGGGTTTGTAGGATGGTAGAAACAGAATCCATGGGTCGTGGCCAGATCCTTATGTTGCGGCCATCACCGACTTGGCAGCAGACACCTTTGTGTAGGAGATGTCTAGAATCAACAATACCGTTCCAAGCCCGGGATCCTCTCTTGAGAGAAGGGGAGGAAAGAAGGTCGAGACTCCGAGGATATTTTGATTTGAAGATTGGGATCCCAATCTTATCCTCATTTTGTGGAAGAGACCAGCCTAGTTCAACAATAAGAGCTCTATTGAAGTATCGGAATCTGCGAATTCCTAGCCCTCCAAGGCTTTTAGGAGTACACAATGTACCCAAAATTTAAAACATAGACCTTTGCTGCCTGAATTAGTAACACCCCACCAGAATCCGAGAGCAATGGAATCTAGACTGGAAGTGACTGGCGTGGGAAGGACAGTGGAAGACATGGTGTAAGACGATGGAATTGAGCACAGGACAATATCGTGTGGGTTTCCATCCAGCATAAGAAAGAGTGATAGCTTTCCAAGAAGCAAGCTAGTTCATGATTTTTTCCGCGACTGAAGTAAGTACTTGGATTTCCTTTGATAATAGAATAGTGGATTACCAAGGTAGGTAGCTGTGATGGGAAGATGAGCTTGTTGCAAAGTAGATTCGCAAATGGGGGAGGTACACCTTCGCTTAAGAGATGCTAGATTTCTCAAAGTTTGACTTTCTCGCCAGACCAAGAAGAGCAGATATCAAGACATTTCATCACAGCTTCAGCATTCCTTCTTGATGCTTTACAAAAATTGATTAAGTTGTCAGCATAAAGAAGGTGAGAGATAGGAGGACAAGTTCTGGCGGGATTGATGCCGTGAATGTTTTTTGATTATTCCTCACGGAAAAGCAACGAGAGAGGACCTCCGAGCATAGGACAATTAGAAGGGGGACAACAGATCACCTTGCCTAAGGCATCAGGAAGGCGCGAAGGAACTAGAGGGCCTGCCATTGATGAGCAAAGAGAACGCAACAATGGAGATGCGCTGGCGATTGAGGTTGCAAACTTTGGTGTTGAACACCAGAGGATGTGGAGCAGAAAGGGCCATCCAACTCAGTCAAAAGCTTTCTCCATTTCAAGTTTGATGGCCATAGAGTGGGGTTTTTTTCCTTTGGAACTTGCCATGTAGGAGGTGATTTCTTAGCCTAAGATGACATTATGTGTAATCTGTCTACCCTTGATGATAGCTAATTGCCAAGGAGAGATAAGTCTAGGGAGGAAGATTGTGTCTGTCAGTAATAATCTTGTAGATGAGTTCACAGATGACACCTCAGAGGCCAATGGGGTGATGGTGGCTTAAGAGATGATGAGGGCAACGAAGGTGGAGTCCATGTCTTTTCACATGTAACTTGTTCCGAAGAAATGCCGAATAGCTTCAACTGCATCAGGGCCGACTGTACTCCAATAATGCTTGAAGAGTAGCACAGGCATAACATCTGGACCCGGAGATTTGGTTGAACAAATTCTCCAGAGTGTAATCATAGATTTCCCCAGTGGATGGAATTATTTCGCCGAAAATGAGTTTTACCCAAACAGTGAAAAATCTTTCACTAAAAGTTAGATCTTTGATTTATATGATGAAGGGGATTCTACGGTGATTTTGGATAGGAACTCACTCGGAATTACAGTATAGCTAATTAAAAATAAAAGACTGAAAATGGTAAACGATCAAGGAAAATGAAAGAACAATAATATTTGATAAACTAACGTCGGAGATGTGTGTTGGCGATGACCTTCCATGATTACACCCCACCACTTATATAACCCAATAATTACAACTATACTCCCGAGATTTCAGGCATCCTATTTGCACAACAATCTCATCCACAAATAGTTACGACTTCCACGGACATTGGGCTACTCGACCGTCACTTGATCCTTGCCTTTGATCGATATGCTTACTCTCGTGCTCTCCTCTTGCTTCCAACACATCGCCAAATTTTAAGATGGCTAACCCCATTATTTACTCCATCGACGAGTTTCATTAAACTCCTCTCAGCCGCTTGTCAATGCCTACTCCACATAGCTGTTGATGACTATTTCATAGATATCAATATCCACGCTATATAATTATCGATTGTTCAATGACTAGTCTTGCTTGCACAACTAACCCAAATTCTTTGGTGCATACAGAATACAAGACACTCGCATTCTCAGCATCATAGAAAGAGCAGCTACCTAGTTGGCTAGCATCGAAGCAGGAGCCTCCCCCGAGGCCCTATCGGACATCAATAGCATTGGACTTGTGAGTATTCAGACTATAATAATTCCGATAAGCAAGTCACTCACTTTTGGCAGGGGGAGATCCAATATTATACCAGCATCTCTTTCGGTTCAATATATCACTTCGTTAATCGTATTGAGCTAATCAGAGCACCTAGACAACAGGAAATTCGTTTCGATCCGATCCATTATTGGAGTCAAATAAAAACCAAGGATATTTCAGTGACCTGGCACTACAAAGACTATCCGAGAGCATTAGCAGAGGGCGCCGAGCATTGAGTCAAATGTTCCGAACTTTGACCTCGTTTCTTTCTTCATATTGTAAAGCGGACCAAAGCCCCCTTTTTTGCTTCTTCTATTGACAAATCAAAGGCGGAAGTCTTCAAAAATGGCACCGGACCATAATCTTTACTTATTCAAATGAAAGGTCAGGCTCAGCAGCCTTCTATAGATCCATTCCAAATTGAGAATTGCCTTCCTCTCCTTTCCTGCCTTTTCTGTCAGATAAGGAGTAAGCAGGTGCGGAGGCTCATAATCCTCTTTAACTATTCCATGACGCAAGCTGGGATAAGGCCCATCAAAATCAGATGGAGAGGAACGGTCACTATAGCGATAGGCATCACCTTATTTGGAAAGGAAAATTGGATTGACATGCCGCACTTACAATTCTTCGAAATTGCATTTCATCGCGTTGGAATATCATGTACAATGGAATCTGGTCCGATACATGCGTGTAATACCTTACCCGAAATGGAGGCTGAGCAATTCGAGGAGATTTCCACGAACCATACTGAAAAGGAACGACATCCCAGAAACAAAGATTTCGTTCCCTAATTGAGCATAATTTTAATTGCTATCAACTTCATCCCCACGGAAGCATACATCCTTTAGAGAGGATGAAAGATTTATAACGGATGTTACAGCAATCGCAATCGTAATCATTCTTAAAAATCTAATCTTTCGTTACTTGATTGATCGTCCCAGAAGTTAAAAATCACCGATGATGCGCTCGAGCAACTGGGTCGAAAGAATCCGGTCAATTCTTGATTGTACTGGTTCAAGAACGGATGGGATTTTTCCATCGTCACCAGAATAACACAAATCCCTCAGATCAACGCAAATCTCAGGCAAACAGGAAAAACCAAAGATCGCGATAAGAGAAAGAGCAACTGCAGAAATTTGATACTACTCAAACCATAACGTTGTTCAACAAATGGCGACGATTGCTTGTCCACTGGTTATAATACGATTGTCAAAGACTACTACGGAAAAGACAAACCAGTAATGCTCGACATCTATGCACAGAAAAACAAAACGAATCACCAAAAGACCCTAGTCATTATACTGTTGTAACGAAGAGCGGCTCTAAGCACGTTCACCACGGATTCGCCTCGCGAGCTGGATATCCTTGGGCATGATGGTGACCCTCTTGGCATGGATGGCGCACAAGTTGGTGTCCTCGAACAGACCCACCAGGTACGCCTCCGCAGCTTCCTGGAGAGCGAGGACGGCATGGCTCTGGAACCTCAAGTCCGTCTGATCACGAATGAAAATTACGGAGGAGAAAAAAGGTCAGAACTTGAACACGGGAATGCGAACAGAACCTTCAATTTCCATCTTCCTCATCATCACATACCTTGAAGTCCTGCGCGATTTCACGGACGAGGCGCTGGAAGGGTAGCTTGCGGATCAGGAGCTCGGTGCTCTTCTGGTACTTCCTGATTTCACGGAGGGCCACCGTCCCCGGGCGGTAACGGTGAGGCTTCTTCACTCCGCCTGTGGTCGGGGCCGATTTCCTCGCAGCCTGAGATTTCCCAATTACGCAACCAAAATCACCACGCGAACAACCAAACCCCCCAATATTCTCACCACGAATCGAAACACTTTCCAATCCAATAACACCGAAAGGAAACAAAGGAATCCACAGCAATCGAACGGCTTTGCAGAAAACCCTAGAGGGAAGAACACGATACCTTGGTGGCGAGCTGCTTCCTGGGAGCTTTCCCACCGGTGGACTTGCGAGCAGTCTGCTTCGTACGGGCCATGCTTGCTTCAGATCAGGTCGAGCAAAAACGACGGAGCCTACCAAACCAACCAACATCATCAGATCCAGAAAAAAAAACGACCGAGGCAAACGATTCGAAGAAGAAGAACCTCAAGAAATCCGACGAATCGATTCGATATCGAGAGAGCGAAACGAGGAGGAGATCGAATACCTCGGGATGCCGGAACGAGAGGGAGAGATCGGAATCGGAGAGGGAGGGGTAGAGGCGCTCGCAGGAATTAGGGTTTCGAATCTGCCTCCCGCGAGACGATGATGGTGACGATGGATGAACGAATGCAGGGAGACGGTTGAATCAGAAGGTATTTATGTAGAGAGAGAAGGTCGGCCGATCCGGGAACGCGGAGGAGAATAACGCCGCCCTGAAGGCACCCGGGTAATCCAACGGCGCACGACGCGGGGAGGCCTGCGGAGCCGTTGGATGGGCTGGGGACGGGGATCGAGGATCGCCAGCGTGGACGGTTTTGTGTTACTTCTGTGCGGGTGCGGCGTGCGGCGGCAGCGAGTTAAAAAAACTAAGGAGCGTGTCATCGCACCGCATGGCATCCCCCCCCCCCGGTTGACTATCTGATGTCTGCCGGTTCTGATACGAGCACGCGTTGACATGTGCAGGGGGGGCGGGTCGGGCCGTGCCGGGTCGGACCGGCCCGAGTCCCGTCGTGCCGTGCCGGGCCAGGCCTCTCGCTGTAGGGCTAAGCATTGGAACCCGATAGGTTCTCGGTTTCTAAAATTTGGACCCGGTGATTATCGGTCCGGTTCCAGCTATGGAATCGAACCACTCGGATTAGACCGATACTTTTTTCTTATTAGCAAGTTAATGATACTCGATCATATTTTATTATGCTTTTGGCATCTTTCCATTGATATTTTCATTGATTAAATATTCAAAACACCAAAGAACGACAGTTCATATTTGCAATTTTGCAGGGAATAGGAACAAAAAAAGGAAAGAGATCACTACCGGTTCCTGGACCCACCCAATAACCGGATCGAGTCAATCCAATCCGATCGGTTCGGTCCGGCTTCGGGACCAAATGGGCCGGTTCCCGATTTCACAAATTAGGAGTTCTTGATTTCAAGGTGAAAATCGATCACCCCTACAGAGAAGCACTATAGTTCCGTGCAATTCGTCGTCTTGCAAGAAATTTTAGTCCTAAGGATTAAGATCTGAATTTTGTAGTTTTAAAAAAAGCAGATAACAGTTATGAATTAAAATTCTATGTCATTCCAAATTTCCATCTCTATCTATTTTTGTTTGGTCGAATCATCTCTATCTATTCAAATCGAGGAAGCTACGGACTCCTACTCTAACTAGGATAAAGAATTCATCAATTTCATCGTCGATCTTTCGCTCTTCTGGTGTCCCTTTAAAAAGCCCTAAGCACATCAAGAGACGATCAAATTTGAGGTCACGTATTATATATCTCCTTAGAAACAAGCGTGGCGATTGATTCCGACGCCAACATGGAAGATCACGTTCCTAATAGCGTGCAAGAAGAAGAACAAGAACAAGAAAAGCCTCCATGGTGTGATCTCTTTCCCGAACTCCTCGATCTGGTGTCGCTGCGCCTCTCGGCCCCGGACTTTTCCTCCTTCCGGCGGGTGTGCGCCTCGTGGCGGTCCGTCACGAACCCCGTCCTCCGGCCCCTGCCCCCCACGGCCGACTTCTTCCGCCGCGGCACGCCAATCCTGGCGACCGTGCACGACGACTTCTGCACTTTCTTCGACCCCATCCACAACGCGGCCCTCCGGGCCGACATCCCCGAGCTCGCCGGGTCGAGGCTACGCGCGGCGGGCGAGGGGGACTGGCTGCTCCTGACCCGGGCCGAGCGGGAAGTGTTCTTCTTCAATGTGTCTGCGCGGGTCATGGTGCGGCTCCCCGGCCTCGACATAATCGGCATTGACGTGGCGTGCTTCTCGGGCCCGCCCGACGCGCCGGGCTGCACCGTGCTCTTGGCAACGCAGGCCCTGCGCGACATCTTCTTCCTCAAGCGAGGCGAGGCGGCATGGACATTCCGCGAGTTTGAACACAAAGGGTCCTACGCCGCAAACTGCACGCCGGTGATGCTCGGTGACTGGTGCTACTTCCTGCGCAGCCAGGGCAACACCGTCGGGTTCAACTACGCGGAGTGGGAGGACATCGGGGATGATGGTTATTATTACCACGACATCTACGCGGACCGGCCGGAACCGCTCCGGAAGTGGCGGCGCGGGCGGATCGACCAGTGTTTCCTGGCGGAGGACGAGGGCGAGCTGTTGGCGGTTTTCTTGGGCTACGGCGAGACCCGGGTGAGCGTTTTCGGTCTCGACCTCAGGTCGAGGACCTGGAGAAAAGTGGATAAGCTGGAGAACAAGATGATGTTCGTGAGCCAAGGGTCGTGCTTGGTGGTCCATGCCAGCGTTAGGGGGACCGGCAACAAGATCTATCTTCCGAAATCGCGGGGCGGCCACGGCATGTTCTACTCGTTCGCGACAAACAAGTTCCACACTTTCCTCGACGACTTCCCGCGGAAACGGTCCGAGCTCATCAAGGAAGTGAAGCCGAGCTGCGCTTGGATTCGAGTCCCGGCCGGAGCTCGAAACATCAAACCGTTTACTTGGTGATCAAGAAATCCCAAGATAGTAATGGCAAATTTATTCGTGCGTTCAACTTCTGTTTTAGGATGCCTAAAAGATTTTTTTGAGTGGGGAATCCTTTCTGGTGTACAGAGTGTTCGACATTTGCTCATGAATTTTACTCAAAACTTGTTGGCTTTGCACTTATCTCTACTTGCTTTGCTTTGTATGGTTCTATGTTAAGAAAAATCAAATTTTATTATTTCAACGTGTGTTACGATTTCGATTTCTATTTCTATTGGATTCTCGATTCACGATTCATGATTTTGAGATATCGATTTATTACTCGTAACTCGATTTACTAGCTACGATGTTAATGATCAGTTCCATCATGTGAAGTGGGTGGTGATCATAGGGTGGGCTAGGGCCAAGCCTTAATCTAGACCTTAAATCGATACCCAAACTCGCCCAATCCTAAAAGTTTTGTCCAAAATTCTTCGGACGGGGCCAGTTTTGGATCGAGCCGATTTGGCTCGAGCGGGCACGTGGGCCGCCGGACCCATGATTATGATCCGAAATTGAGGCTTCCATGCTAAGGCCCATGGGCCACAGCCCAAGGTGACAGAAAAAGGGGACGACCCGATTCATGGCCAACCAGCACTTGAATTCATAAGACGGGTCGACCCGAATGATTACTTGCAGGGCACAGTTGCACTCATTGTTTGTTGCTTCTAAAGTCAAGAATCAAAAGCTGAGCTCAAGGCATCAATATCAATGACTTTATCACGTTAAACGACTCCACCACCACTGAACTTTCCTTCTTTACCCTTTCGGGTTATTGATAAAAAGGTAGAAGGTCCGCTGCAAAAAAGCTACCGTGGCCCATTAATTCGTCGGGAAAAACAGTTCGCGAAGCGTTAGAGAAACTTCCGTTGCCCAACATTATATTTGAATTCGTCGAGGACAGATTTGAACCCTTTCGATCAAGTCAAATCGCATGAAGAATCAATAGCCTAGCAGGTCCATGCCCGACCTCTATTTTGCAATCTCATTTTATGATTTTAGACGCCCAAAAAAGTTATGAAGGATTAAAAAAGGGACATAAATCAGTAAAATTAAAAGACGAACTGTCATCTCTCTCTCTCTGTGTCTCTCTCTCTACTAATGCTTAGGCCAGTGCACGCTTGACTAGAATCCAAGGCAAAACCCTACACACTCGCTTCCTCTTCAGATCTTCCCATTGATCTCAGTATCCATGTGAACCATGTCAGTTGCTTTGCACTTTACAATGGACCCGACCAGACTCGAGCAAAAAGAGCTCTGATCCGAGTTTGCCAAATCATTGTCTGAGTCTTAGAATAGGCTCGGCTTAAAGGGTCCTTAATTATTGTTTTTCTTGATGACAGAATAAAGATAGTAACTCCCGCTTCTTTGGTCTCTAAACTTGCCGTAATTTCTCCGAATTAGAGATTCTGCAAACTTTTAATTTGTCTAATCAAAATCCTTAAACTCGCATAATCTCTCTAAACAAGTCCTCATAACCCTGCCAAACCGGACTCATCGGAGTTCACATGTTGGCGGGAGCCAACAATAGTTTTAACATGGGAAATCTTTTCTGACTACCGGGAACTATTGAATAATGCACAAGACCGAAACGCCCGACGACGGAGACCACAGACCAGACCTTAAACAATGAGATTTCTTGGTATGAAAGTCGCGAATCGATTTTTCCACACCGTAATTCACGTCGGTTCCGTCGGACGTATCAGCTCCAATTAACCCGATCTGAAGCTGGAGGGACTTAATTCTGAAAAATCATAAACATGTAAAGACTTTATAAGACTAATAAGGATGTACAAAAAAGAAAAAAGAACCTTAAAGCCCTTGATGATTGGGTGGGCAAACTACTCCCGATATGGGTAGTCTACACTAGACTTGTCAAAATGGGTCATAAACCCATTTCTTAACCCTATATTAGTAAATGGGTCATAAATTAGTTAGTTATATTTAGTAAATGGGTCATAAATTGATAGAAGTCTTATATTGATGTTAAATGGGTCGTAAATGAGTTTACAACATATTTAAACTCAACGCATCTCTCTCGCCCTCACTCAATCTTGTACTCACTCATTCCGCGCTCTCATTTCAGCTTGGGTATGAATTTTCCTATATTTAATTAAATATGAAAGTGTTTTAGCAATATAGGTTTGATCGGATATGGGTTGGGTATGGGTCGGGTCGGGTCGGGTATGGGTCAAGAAAATTGCATTGCGCATAAATTGGTCATAAACGGGTTAATGGGTCAATTTGGGTCGGACCATTTATGACCCGATCCAAAATCCGACCCGACCCACCCATTTGACAGGTCTAGTTTACACACTGAAACCCTCTGTGTAAAAGAGAGACCCATTGCTGCTACTTAATCATTTAGGGAGACTTCCCATGTGGGAAAGGTCCCACCAATCTCCCTCCAATCCCTAAAGCAATTGACCCAAAAAGGTTAGAGAGTCACATATATGCCCATTCGTACCTAAAAGTAGAATTGCCAGATTGCCCAAATGATTCCCCCCATCCAGCGCTAGCAGGAAGTGGCGAAAAAGAGGAGTCGTCGCCACCACCAAATTGGGGGCCGATTCGATCGTGACCTCACGCTCTCCATGAGCTTTCGTGCCACAATTGATCCGCGCAAGATGATTAAAGAGGGAAACCCTTTGTTGCCTTCGTTGGGTAGGTGCAAAATTGGGTGCCTTCCTCTGGTAAAATGCAGAATGCCTCGGGGCGAAAGCGGACCGCACAACCAGATCCACCTTTCTTCCAACATGCTTTAGAGAGGGAGAAAAAACAACGGGGAAAGAAGAAAGGGATTTCCTTCTTTTTAAACTCGAACCGTAATCATTCGAATTTGGTTCGATTCAGTTTGTCGTTCCCGCCGTGAAAAAGATATAATCGAGAAACAAATATACACGTCGGAGAAAATACCGTCTCTAGAGAAGTCTCTGAGCTCTGACGGCACTATGAAGTATTTTCCGTCTTCCAGTTCCTCGATTTGATGGGTCATTCGGGGACGGATTCCCTTCGTTAGATGCGGTCGTTCAAAAATAATTACGAAATCGCAGTTGGGTGGATCCAATATTTTCCGTTTAAAATACATTTACGATGAGACGTTAAATACACATATCTAATAACTGACTGACTGATATATCCTAACAATAGAAAACTCGCGGCAGAGGGATCGAATCACAACGCACCCACCGCCTTGACCTCCCTCTCTCTCTCTCTCTCTCTCTCTCTCTCTCTCTCTATCTCTCTAATTAGGGGAATCAACAATGATTTTTGGAGTGATTGACATTAAAATATGGCATAATGAATGACATCGGCACCCCCTAAAAAACGACGTTGTACCGATGAGTAAGAAGTGGTCGGAACCTTGGAGCGGGTCCCACTTGGTCCGACCCCGGAGGCCCAAGCATCGATTTTTCCTTTCGCTGGGACCCGCTCGATGGTCTCGTGGCCGTGGCCTCCCACATGCATCCCCCGAACATGGCGCTGGCTCACGCCTCCAGTGTATCATATCCACGACCCATCATTATTGAGGATCTACGGATACAAACGAGAGAGAGAGAGATAAGGAGAGTGACTTCTCACAAAAAATTGGCCGGCGAGGGCGACCCCAGCCATCGCCCGGCGAAAAGGAAAGAAAAACAAGAGGATGAGGAAAATTTTATTTTTTTAAAAAATTGATTGTCCACATTAGCGCTGGCCACGCCACGTAAGATGGTCGGCGATCATCAAAATTGGCTGGAAGGATTACATTAGCGGATCGTCGAAAGATCTAGAACTGAATTGGCACAATTGAAAACTTTAAGACTTTTTGAGCCATTTGGATCTCTTGTGGGTTATGCTAAATCCAAGGATTCACTCTTTTAAGAATACATTAACTCCGCGCCACTAGGAGCGCGAATGATAACCATCTTGTTTCGGAAATCAATTTTTAGCCAGTTCCGTTTCTATTCCCTAGGTGAGTTTCTGAGCAAAAATACGCGTTTGATGACGACACGAAATTTATGTTTCCGAAATTGAAATTCATTTTGATAACGACATAAAATTTCTCCTTTTCAGAGGGTCAACCCCATGAGACGAGTGGCAGGTGGATGGTGGGCTGGCGGTGGGTGGCGGCCGGGGGCGGGAGGCGACCAACGGGTGGACGGCGGGTGAGCGGCGTAGGACGGCGGCCGGAGGCGGATGGTGACGGACGACGGCCGGCAAGTGGCGGAGGACGTCGGGTGGCGATGGTGGCGAGAAGCGGCCGGTAGGTGGGCGGCCAATTAATAGTAAGGGCAAAAGACGAGAAGAGTTTTTATTTATCAATTCTGTTCTACAAAATTTCTATTGTTCCAAACCCGTTCTTAGAAACTGAAAAATAGAAAGACAGAAAATTAGAATAGTTATCACGCGCTCTTTCCGCGAAAGACACCCTCCAACGCTCGGGAGGTGGTTAAAACGGGATAATCGAGCTGCGTAATTCCGTCTGCCCAACGGATATTCCCGGGCCAAGATAAACCGCCAGGCCCTCCACGTGCCCTTACGTGTCGGCCCAGCGGAGCAGACACGTGGCGGGGGTAGCGACAAAGTAGGTGTCAAACACCGGAACAAGATGCTTCGTTTTGGCCTGAAAGACAAAAAAAGGGAAAAAGGAAAAAAAAAAAGAAATGAGTTTGGGTGTGCGCGCGTGTGTGTTAGAGAGATTCTCGACAGACGACACACCGTTTTCCGGAAGTCCTGTCGTGCGCCTCACATGGGATGATGCCGCAGCAAAGCATATCTCCGTTTTTTTCCCTTTTTTTTTGCCTTCTTTATTTATATCCCATATTTCCCGTGTGACATCAACTTCTCCGCTTCTGATTATTTGTTTCTTACGCCAGTTTCCATTCTAAGAAATAAAAAAAAAAGAGGGCGATATCGTCGAATTGAATTGGGAAAACGATACAAATGATCTCCGAACTTTGGTTCGATGTGCAATGTGATCTCTAAACTTTAAATTTGATTCTTAAACTGTAGCTCAATGTGCAATGTGATCTTTGTGCTTTCAATTTGTTCGACGTGGTCTCTAAACTTTTGATACATGTTCAATTTAATCCATGAATTGTGAAAATGTTCGGTGTCGTTCTTTTATGAATTTAAGTTCGGGAACGACATTGAACGTTTTCATATAGTTCATGGACAACATTAAACATCTTCATATAATTCAAGGGACTGAGTTGAACATATACCAAAAGTCCAGGGACCGTATCGAACAAATTGAAAGTTCAAGGACCATGGTGCACATTTGGCCAAAATTTATGGACCATTTGTGTCATTATACCAATTCGATCCAAAAATTTAGTCTAGATTAGATATTTCAAATGATTTTATTTAGTAAGGTTAATTCGAGAGTTTCATTTGCCAGGGATTATTTATCTAGCACGAGCTTCTTTGTCATGAATTAAATTGATTTCCAAAATAAATCATCCAATTACCCGAACATCTAAGAGTCAGTTTAGAATGGTTTTTTTTTTTTGGTTTTAGAATGGTTTTTGTTTTTGCTTTTTCTTTTCTTTTCCAAATAATGCAGCTCTTTGTTTTGATTTCTATAACATGAAATGCCTTGTTAAGTATAACACTGCATTGCTTAAAAAAGTGGTTATAGTGTGTTTTGTATGCACTTTTAGTGCCATGTTAACAAATGTGGCTTCCAGAAACAATCAAAACATGTTTTCTCCCACATACAGTGAAAACAACAGCCTTCCCAATTGAACTAATGATAATATTAAATCGCATGAAACCACGTCAATTTCGCTTAATAAACGAAAACACGTCTTTCTGAGCCGATTGAAGCGGTTTCAATTGCGCGTGCGTGAGAGAGAGAAATTGTGGCACGAATTAGGGTCGGGGCTACGATTCTTGACAAAATTAGATTGAAAGTGGAAAATTTGGTTGATATACTTTGATTTCATGAAGAACCCCAAGCCCCAAACGACGTTTAACGTGGGAGACAATGTTATTTTGATTATTTATGGAAGCCACGTCTGCTGCTGACATGGCACTCATGTTTTGTCAGGTCATGTCCATTTGTTACCTCAAGCGTTGTATAAAAATGTTTAAGCTAAAATAGTCTTTCGGATAAAATTCGGTAATACGAAACTTGAAATTTGGAGCAAAGTTATTCTCCAATTGAAAGTCTGTACCTTTTTACGTGACACTTAAAAGGCGGGCCAAAATTCTAAGTAATGTTTGTAAGCATATCTGCCACTATCGTCACGTATTGACTTTTAAAGGATTTGGCGCACAAATTCCTACGATTTGCAATTGAATTTGTGATCGAAGCGAAGAAAAATGAGGGAACTCGAGCTCAACAATCAACGGAACTTAGCTAAGCATCCTTCGGACCTTTTTGTTTCGAAGACAATCATTGCCCCACAACTTACTAGATGAATCATATTGACAACTATTAAGCCCAGGGTATAAATTATTTCGAGGGAATTCTTTACAGAGTTTTAGTGGATTTCACAATCGAGTTACTGTATTCTGATCTTAATCATTCCATGTACGCACTAAATCTTATTTGGTAATTGATACATTTTGACCGAAATCTAATCAGTTTTTCGATGAAGTACTGACGTGACCAGCACATGTCAGTAACAAGACATTTATCAAGTTGGCCATGTGTTCTTCAGGTCAGCGCCCGGTTGAAAAATTGGTAGAATTCCAACCAAAGCACATCGACTAAAATAAGCTAGGGCGTCGATTTATTGAAATCAAAGTCTGGTGATCTGATTGCAAAGTTCACTTCAGCAACCACGATTGGAAAGCATTCCTTACATTATGGCCAAGAATAGTAGGAATTGGTGTTGTTAGGGTGTCGGCGGCTAGTTTGCAATCGACTTGATGGTCGTTTTGTGCTGTAATCTCCTGTGATTAGTCTTAACAAAATGTGCAAGTGCAACGATTCAAACCAAAAAACAATTAAATCACCATTCGAGCCGTGCGTTAGTTTTGCATGCTATCATGGTTAGAAAACCCAAAGAGAAAAAAATAAGAAAAAACGAAGACTTAATTGCAAAAAAGTTACCACCAAAACCAACAAAAAGAACAAACACGAAGAGTTGCCATATCAAAAAAAAAAAAAGGTGATGCAATAAAAGTGTGCAAAAGAATTGAGAACCGTCCAGACCGCTAAAAATCGGACTGAACTAGCCTAAAACCGGTGGCTCCTAGGGGCTCCTATCTGGTTTGGTTCTCGATTCTAGATGTGGACCCGCTAGACCGGTAATTAATTTTTCTCATTCCATTACCATCTTAGGTAGAGTGTATGTAGATTTGAGGTTCAGATAATACTTTGCTACGCAAGCTTGTCATTTAGCAGTTCATTGAATTTCGATGCTATCAAGTATCAGTTACATTTACAGAATTTCCTAGATTGGCCTACATCGGAAAACTCATTTGCATTAGACGGGATCATAGAAAATTTGTTAGAAAGTTAAATTACGGAGCTTTTTGGGTTCTCAAGGATTTTATTAATTCGACACAAAGGGAAGATAAAGGCTTCGCAATTGAATCGTTAACAACATTAACTTGAACATAACTAGTAGAAGTAAGTTTTTTTCATCCCTTAGCAAACATAAAGGAGATCTGTGCGGCATTGCAGCGATTGCAAATCGATTCTATGGACCCACTCAGGAATCGGACACTAACTAACGGGTAATTTTTTGTTCTCATTTAGTGGGTGATTTTCGATTTCACTTGAAAGTTTTCGCGGTTCCACTTGAAAATTCTCACCTTAAAATCGATCACCCCCACGTAGGATTGAGTAGTACCCAAATGTCATTTCACCGATTTTGTACTAGAAAAGTTTCCGATTACCAATTTAGAACGGCCAATAGGTGTTGTTCTTTTTGGCCTTCTGACCAACGGGTGGATAAGACAGTTGCGCTCGTACCCTTTCGATATTATTAAACTTTCCTCGATCCGTAAAATACACCAAATACGGGGCCACAAACGGAAAAAGACATGGACTTAAAAAAATGGTATAAAATAAAATCCCGCGGCTTTTACGCAAACTGCACGAGATGGAAAAAAAAGAAAAAATTGTCCGTGCGTGATGCGGGGCGGATTCCAACGTGAAAACTTAGCTCGATTTAAGGAGGCCGCGTTGAGGTCCGCGCTTTCTAACATCGCTCCTGTCCCTCTGTCTCTCTCTCTCTCTCTCTCTCCTCGTTCCAATTTCCAACAAACTCCTCCTCCCCTCACCTGCATTGGTGGTCTTGTCTCCCTCCGCAGGAGAGAGAGTAAGAGAGAGAGAGAGAGTGAGGTCGAGCGCGGCGGAGCGGCGGCGGCGGCGGCGGATAAGAGGGAGGAGCGAGAGCGATAATGGGAAGATCCGCGTCCTGTCTGAAAATCATTACGTGCGGGAGCGATTCGGCTGACCAAGACGATCTCGAAGCTTCCGAGGTATCGGTCTCGGTCGATTCTTCTCGGCTCGTCTTTCGTTTTTCCTATGGTTTTGACTTTCCGGCATTGGGTTGGATTCAGCTCCTGGAGCTGGTGTCTGTGCGTTTCGATGGGTTTGAGATGGGATCGTTTCTCGTTGTTTTGGGTTTTCGCGAGGTGCTCTTGCATGCTCTGTTGAGTTGAGCGGAGTTATCGCTGCGTGTGCTTTGCGCCCCCGGGTTGGTGATTTGCATTATGTTGGGACTTGCTGATTCAAGTCGCCGAGATCTGATTTGAAGTTGAAATTTTCTGATCGGTGGTCGGGGATGTCATCGGACGCGTGATATTTATGTCGGACTTCCGTTCTGAGAATAAAACAGGAAATGCGAGATCTGTCCGAGTTGTTTGCTTGTTTGGGGGTTTTTGTCTGTTTTCTAGGAATTAGTTAATCTGTTATCAGTGATGTAGAATGTGCGGTTATTTGTGCACTGACCGTTGCTGAAGTGTTGGCAATTCATGTCCACCGTGTCGTAATCGGGTTTGGTGAAAGCACTATATTTTGTTAATTATGCTATAAAGTTCCTGTTAATTCGTGTCGATATGGATATTAAATTCTTGTTGATTTGTACCATTTACGGGTTTTCCATACAATGGTGTATAAACGTGTCAATTCTTGTAGGAAAATGCCGGCCCTTCAGGCTCTTGTCTTGGAGCCTCTTTAAGATTGCCGTGATTAATGTAGTGCACTCGACATCTGAGTTGGATTAGAATTTAGAAGTCAATACATATTCAGACAAGTTTACGAATGCAAGGTTTAAAAGATAAATCGGTTGAGGTCCGTCGAATGCTAGGATCATTGTCCAATCTGTTGTGACTTTTTCTCAGGGAAACATATCTGGCGTATTTCCTAGTTTACAATAATTCGTCTCACGTTAATGATGCTTTGTAATTGCATTTCAGATAAAGGGTGACAAAAAGGGCTGGAGTTTCCGGAAAAGATCTGCCCGTCATAGAGTGCTTAGCAATAGCGCGATATCTGAAACTTCGGCTCCTGCAACTAAAGAGATCCCTGAATCTGCTGATGATAACTTCAAAACAGCAACTGATTCCGATGTTCCCGAGAAAGTCTCGGCGATTCGGTGCGCTGATGAGAAGCCACAGCTGTCAGCTCCTGTGGATGCAAAAGTATCCGAAGCTGTAGTTGCAACCAAGCCCGAAACTGTTGACGTATTCAATGTGGATGAAGCTATCGTTATTTTCATCCAAGCCAGTATAAGGGGTTTCCTGGTACCAATTTCTTTCCATATGGTACGCTTATGCATAACAAAGAAATCAGGTAAAGTTTCTTCTAACTTCTGCTATTTTAATTTGCTTGGCAGGCTCACAAAGCACTCTTAAAGCTGAAGAGTGTCATCAAGTTGCAATCTGCTGTGCGTGGACACCTGGTCAGGAGTCATGCTGTGGGAACTCTGCGATGCGTCCAGGCCATTGTCAAAATGCAAGCTCTGGTTCGTGCTCGCCGTGCACGGCAACTAACACAAGGGACAATTGCAGAAAATAATGCAGATGTGAAGCATAAGAGGGATGGCATCAATTTAAGGGCCATGGTAATGTTACTACGAACTCGGTTGTATCAATATATTTCTAGACATAATTTTCACCTTTGGTTATCTTGATTATGATATTTGTCCTCTTCTAGGCACATGCATGCTGTATCTTGATTGCTGATTAGTTTATTGGTGCGCGAGCATGTATTGGCTTTCCAATTGTTATGGCAATATATTGGCATATTACAGTTGTAATTGTGAATTTTGGGATTTCTTTTTACCTTTTGGGATCAGGAATATAAATGTTGAAGATGAGCCTGGAAGACTGGAAGTACCATGTAATTGAACTGAAGATGTAGATGCTAAGTCTTTGTTTCCTGTTCTTTAAGGGGAAGATCCTCTAAAGCCATAATCGTGGACTGACTACTGAAAGTTCATCAAACTCATCTTAGTGCTTCGAATGTGAATCATCTACACAAACTCTGCATGTTTTAGGACACTAAAGAATTCTGTTAAGCCCAGTGCATTGCAGAAGATTTATATAATGGACTCAGAGATAACTCGATTTTATTTCTGATTATATGTTCCTTGCGGCATTCAATGATCCTCTAAAGGCATTATTGTCAACTGACTACTGAAAGTTCATCAAACTCATCTTCTAGCTTCGAATGTGAAACATCTACACAAAACTGTGTGTTTTAGGACACTAAAGACTCAGAGATAATTCCATTTCGTTTCTGATTATGAATTTCCTGCTATAGTAGTACATTTCTGGACCCTTTTCCTGTTGTACATGCTGACTGGAGAAAATATTGAAAGAAGGTTGAGAAATCGGTTGTCAAACATAAAAATGCTAATTATCTCTGGATTGATGGTTAAGGACCAACTATTGATTCATGAGGATTAAGGATACACAAAAAGTTGAACTCTTATGATAGCATCCTAATATTAACTTCTCTTGCCATCAAATTTGCCGACTCCTATTGGCCATGTGATTTATCATCACTTCCATGCATTGTAAAGACAACTGATGCTCCGGTGCTTCATCTTATGGATGTTCTCTTGAGGATATTGTCTATGCTACGCCGAATTATTTCCTTCTTATTTTTGTTAAACATTTTCCTTGATTCAGGAGATGGAGAATGCAAATAAACCAACTGTAGCTTACATTTCCATTGAGAAGCTGCTCGGCAATAAATTTGCCAGACAGGTGCTCTCTCTCTCTCTCTCTCTCTCTCTCCCAAACTAGTGTAGGATTTTTTATCCATCTCTCTTATGAATACTCCAAAGATTCTGATGGTTTTACGTTAAATTGAAGCTCTTGGACTCGACACCGAAGGAGAAGCCTATCAATATCAAGTGTGACATTTCCAAATCTGATTCCACATGGCAATGGCTGGAGAGGTGGATGTCAGCTTCATCAGCTGAACCATCACCGATTGTTGGGTTGATGACTGAGCAGCAGGAAAGTAAGAAGAATGAACCATCACCGATTGTTGGGTTGATGACTGAGCAGCAGGAAAGTAAGAAGAATGAACCATCACCGATTGTTGGGTTGATGACTGAGCAGCAGGAAAGTAAGAAGAATGAACCATCACCGATTATTGGGTTGATGACTGAGCAGCAGGAAAGTAAGAAGAATGAGAAACTGATACAAGCAAATTCGGAGGGCTCATCTGAAGTTCTTTGTAGATCAACAGATTCTGTATCGGCCTGTAAGGACATATCAGCACCAGCTGAAAATGAAGATAATCTGGTCCTCCCTGACGAAGCCAAATCAAAAATTGAGGGATGCAACGTGATACCTTCTGCAGCGGAGGAGCACATGGAGCGGTCTGAGCCTGAGAAATTTGAAACATTTGACGCAAACGAGAGCTCAACAGAGAGAGAATCTACTCCGCCTCTGATATGTGATAGCTCTAAAACGGAGCCCGACTCTCTTTCCAATGAGATTGAAGTGGAAATCGAACAGCCAAAACATTCGGGGAAGAGGTTTGCCCCAGATCAGCTGGAGACTTTGGGGAAGAAACCGGCATTTGGATCCAGAAAGGCTAGTAATCCATCTTTTATTGCCGCTCAGTCCAAATTTGAAGAAATTAATTCAACTGTCAACTCGAATGGATCAATAAATACATCTAACCAAGATGTCGAAGCCGATTCAAATGGAGTGCCGGTTTCATCAGGAGACACTACCACTGGGGAGAAGGCATTTGGCCCAGAAGACAATGTGGCTCCAAATCACGCTAGAGTTCAGGTTGGTGGCTCTGAATGCGACACAGAGCTTTCAATTACTTCCACTCTCGATTCTCCAGACAGATACGATGATGGAAATGCAGACAGAGTGAATCAAGCCAAAGTTACTGAGGAAAGATCCTGCAGTCCCGACAATGTGAAAAATGAACTATGTGAAGTTAAGGAATCAACTGCTGTCCAGCTGTCAACATTGTCTGATTCTGCTTCTGATCATCCAGAGAAGCGTGACGATGTCATCAGTGAACCTGTCACTTCAATTGTGGCCATGGAACCCCACCAGGATGAACTGAATCTTGATAGAAGCACATCGGATGTGCTGGGAGAAATTGATTCCAAAACAATTCAAAAAGCTTACAGGTCTTCACCAGAAGCGTCTCCCAGGAGCCATATAACCATTCCTGAGTCACAAGGAACGCCAGCTAGTCAGGTCTCTGTGAACACTAAAGGGAGTAGAACAGATAAAACCAGGTCCTCAAACAAGCGCAAATCCTTGTCAGCAGGCAAGAGATCACTATCAAACACGTATCAGGACTCCGGTACGGGCTCTCCAAAACAATTGCCTAAAGATCAGAAAAATGGGAAAAGGCGCAGTTCAATTGGATCAGCGAGACCAGATAATGAGCAAGAACCACGAGACAGTAGCAGCAGTAACTCTATCCCTCATTTCATGCAAGCCACAGAATCTGCTAGGGCTAAGGTGAATTCAAACAACTCTCCGAGATCGAGTCCTGATGTACATGATAGAGAGATCTACGTTAAAAAGAGGCACTCTTTACCGGGCTCGAACGACAGGCAGGGATCCCCACGAATTCAGCGGTCAACATCTCAAGCGCAACAGGGTGCAAAAGCTAATGGGACTCAAACGCAAGGTACTATTTATATTCTCCTTTTAGATTCCTGGAAAGACTCTTCTTTGGTAACAGACTATGCACTGAAATTTCTGCATGAACTCTTCCTTTTTAACCTAGCATCAAGATGTTTCTTTTGCTAGAACAGGCATCATTTATTAGAGAGAAGCAAGTGAGTAGATTTACTTTTGATAATAAGCTGATGATTAACCTGAGGGCTTCTTGTTCATTGGTAAATTGTATCACTAGATATTCCAGCTTCATTCAGTACTTCTTTTAGCATCATATCATATTGAAGTATTTATCAAGTTTTTACGTATTGTATTTGCCCTCTTTACAAACCTTTGGTGTAGTAACTCCGTTTAGAACTTATCTAAATCTGTAAGGATTTCTATCAGGATTTATGAAAATTAAGCTCTAAAGAGTAAAGACACATTATTGGTACCCAAAGAAAGTTTGATTCTTTTGAGTATCATTGGTTACTCGTGACAAAACATCGCATGGGAATGGGTTGCCTGTCCACAACTGTAGAGCAAGCTGTATCCAATGTCTAGCTTCAGCTTGGCCTTTGGTTCATCAGTGAACTGACCATAATATTTCAATATTTATACGTCCCTAATCCTGATAAAGCTTTTGATCTTCACATTTTTCTGCCCTTTTGCATTAGTTCTGTAATTAACTGGACATCTGGCCCGATTTCCTCCGCTTTTTAAGCATTTGCTTAGCAGCACAGAGGCTATTAGACATGCCTTGATCGTTTGCTACTTCGTAATATTTTGCAGAGAGAAAATGGCTCAGGTGAAGAAGAGCTCACAGCTTATTGGCTTGCAGTGGCTAACCAGTCATAGATGCCGTCTGGAGAATAACACCTGTCAATCGCGTAGCTTCATGCTTGCTTCATATGCTTTCGATGTTTGGTTTCAAGGTTTGCCTGGAAGAGAATATATATAGAACTGGAGGGAATTTTTTTCGTTTTCCTTTGTACCTTTCTGCTGATGTTTGTTAATTTTCTGCGACGGCTTCACCAGGGATGTGCGCTTGTATCTTAAAAACATTAATTGTGTGCGATATGAAATCCGATGTTAAAAGTTTCATGTTCATCTCCCGATCGAGCGCTGTTTGCAAAGTCGAGCTGACCAATTTTGCAGAGAGTTTTGCTAATACTTTTTAAAGCTGCTAATTTGATTGAGTTAGATCACATCAACTTGCGCAAAGTGATGAAGTTAAGGAGTCACGCCAGTTGGGATGTAGTGCTGCCCCGGAAGACAAATGTTGCTGCAGTTTCGATTTGTACTGTGATTCGACAGACAACCACTCAGGATCATGGCATCTTTTTTTCTTACCGTATTATGACACACGAAGATTCGTTTCCGAGTACGGCAAGGCAACTAACCCAATCGTTTGATTGTGAAGGACACGGTGAATCCGAAAAAGACGCAGTCAAAGGACAAAAGGTCCCGCACCTCAAAGCCGTACGAGGATGCTGTCTGGCAAAACAAAAGCCGTACTTGAAGGTTAAAAATTAATATTGAAAAAAAAAAAACCCGATGGGAATTGGGTTCAACTAATCCCTCCACGGAAGAAACACTTGTCCAAACTCGAGTCCATCGATAATCGTCACGCTCTCGCAATTAGTGACGGTGATAGATCTGAGTCCGGTATGCCTAGACCCGAGTCCAGTGGACTTTGATTTGAATCCTGCTGATATTTTTTGAGCTAATTCCAAAAAAAAAGTACAAAATTTACCTTGAGTGATATTTTTGGCCCGAACCATTTTTTATCTCAATAAAAAGCATCAACTTTTGCTCAAGTCTCAAATCCGGCCCCCGTAATATAAAATTTTCAAATTGTTCAAGCCAGATTTGAGATTTAAATGAAAGTTTGTGATTTTTTATGAGACAAAGAAAAGTTCGGCCCATGATTATCATTCAATGTAAAGTTTGTGCTTTTTTTTTTTTTTTAATTAGGCCGATATTTTTCTTTCCACAATGAACTTCCCCTATGGATGGAAGAACGTTTGAGGATTGATTGCAGGAGGTGAAAGACAATTTCCACTGATTGGAATTAGAAGAGAGTGATCGAAAGCTAGAACAATGGCGTGACGACAAATCGAAGTTTGGTGGGAGAGAAAACTCTTTTGGTAAATGCCATGCATAAATTTTTTTTTTTTAATTTAAAGTATAAGAAATTTTTTGACCTCTAGGTCAGCCACTGGCCAGATACCTAAAATCCATGTGGCTGGGTTAATCAGTGGGGAACGACGTGTTTTTGAGTTAGACACGTGCTATAATTTTTTTTAAAGTTTTTATTTCTTCATTTTTTTTTTCATTGTAGCCGGCGAGGGCCTCGCCAGCCGCGAAGGGGCAACAATGAAAAAAAGCAAAGAAAAATAAAATTTAAATTTAAAATTTTAAAAAAAAATTTGTAAAAATTATCCACATCAACATTTACGTCAGCGATTTTCATTCAAAATTGTCCGGGAGTATTCAATTGGCAAATCGCCAAAAGGTTTAGAACTAAATTGATCAAATTGAAAGTTTTGGAATAGAATTGACACGGATATAGCGAGGTCAAAACTCTTTTTTAGTAATTTTCTCACCAACTCCTAAGTGAGCTTGCTTGGGGGCTGTATCTGGTCTGGGTACGCACTTCTTCGACCGTGAAGCACGTGGTAAGGGAAATGCAAGGGCGGCGGGTGGGCCTGGGCCACACGCGAGGAAATGAGATTGGGGTATTTTGGGTGGTTTTTTTTTATAGTTTCTCACAAAGATTTTGTTTTTGGGGAAAATACAAAAAACATGTCCTAGTATCTATCATCCACGACAAGGAAAAAAAAAAGATACACGTGTTTCGAAATTACAAATTAAATTCCCTGTTCAAATGAAGCTGCCGCCTCCGCCGTCAGCCGCCACCTCCGCCAAGTCCAATTGCCCGACCGACACACCGTTGCGGCCCCTCTTTTCTCTCTTCATCCCCCTAGTGAGATTTCTATTTAAATTCCATCTACAACCCTATTGCAGCCTAAGATCGAGGTCGCCATGGCCATTGGCAACCTCATATGGAGGTCTGAACCGACTGATGTTGAAGAATCGGTGGATGTGTTGTGGTTAGAAGTGAAATGCCACTCAAATCCAAAGCTAATTGGTTCTCCCCAAAAAAGGCCAAGGCGCAGCAGTTGACTAGACATCTAGGGGTAGAGTATCGTTTCGGTGCAAGCCGAGAGAGCAATACTAATTCAAGGCAAACTATAAATACTACATATGACCTCCAAATAATAGGGTCAAGTTCGCTAATGAGATGATGGGGGGTAAGCTATATCGTCAAGAGGGAAATGGCTCAAATCACCAGCTAAGGCTCCCAAATGACCGCTCAGTGATAACTGATGTAGGGGCGTGAGACGGCCATGTGGTTTGCCAAGATCACCCAGTCTGGGCAAGGCCTCTGTGACTGGTGAGGGTCAATGGTCATGAGTGACCCTCGCTGACACAAGAAAAAAAAAAGCAAAGAAAAAAATTCAAAAATAATTTTTAAAAATTTACAAAAGTTGTTCACGTCAGCGTCGATCGTGCCACGTAAGACAGTCGGAGTGCACGTCAGTGATTTCCTGTCAAAATTGACTGGAATGACTCAATTGGCAAATTGTCAAAATGTTTAAAACTAAATGGCCAAAGATAAAACTCGCACTGATTTTAGGAATGATTAGGCTTGAACTGATGACTTCCAACACGTCAAGGTTACGCTTTATGGCTAAGTTTTATCCCTTTCGTGTTCCTATCAAGAAATAGAACCAACTAATCCTAAGAGAGGGGGTTGAGAAACTCAATGCCACTATGCTACTATTCCACAATTTTTAAACAACTTGGAGTCGAGCCTTCTTTTCACACTATTACAGATACATAAATAATGGAAAAAGCTGGATTCCATTTTCAACCGGTCCCATCGGAAATAGGATTGAATGTGGATTCGAGCTACAGCACACGGTTTCATGAAATCGTACGATTTTCCCGATCTAAATCAAGCAGCTTTACATGAAGAAGATCTTGCTCAGCACGCTCTATTCAATACGGGCAAGAAAATCGATATTATTAAAACAAATAGAGAAATCGAAATCAAGTCACGGCGATACGGGTAGAATTGAATCGGCGCAAGCGCGATAGATTTAAGGCTTTTTTGGTCATTTCGCCCCGGGCTGCGCCTTGCCATGGTATATATTACAATGACAACATTGAGATTCAGAAGCATTACAAAATGAAAAACAGAGTCGGCTGCAGAAATATCACTTGCGTAGGAGCGGCGAAGCAGAAGAGAAAGAACCAGAGGATCTAGGGTTTCCCCCGGGATCCCTCTGGCATGTCACCCGGACGTCGATCAATCATCGATCACGATCAGCTTCCCGCTTCGCCGATTGCGCCGATGGTGTCGTCCCTTAGGGCTTCGATCTCGGAGGGAGGAAGGACGAGCCCGAATTCCGGAATCGTCTCCGATTGAGATCGGAGAAGGAAAAACCCTAAATCGATCGATCGATAGATAATCACGTCGCGATTGCTTCGCTTCGATCGCGTGCTCGCGCCGAGAATCGGAGCAGGGGAAAAAGGAGTTGTCTTTTTTTAAAGAGAGACTCGGTAACATGCGGGGATCGCTCAAATGGAAAAGGGTTTCTTGGGCTTCGGACGTTAATCTTTGTCAGGTAATAATGCGAGTTGTTGTTGGTGAAAGGTTCTTTATGGGATTGTGTGCCGGCGAAAACTTAGATGTAAGACTAAGGACTTCATGGGATTTGAGGCAATCTGAGTCGAGTTTTGGAACTTATGCATTGTTGTGTGATGCTTTTATGGTTACATTGCGCATGTCTTTTTAGGGGCTGTGTGGTGTCCGAAGTGTTTGTTCTTGAGTTTTGTCTGTGAGTGACCAGTTTCAGTTCTGATAGCAAAGGTTTTTCCTTTGGGTGTTGAGGCGGAAGCATTTAGATGGGTTTTGATGCTTGCATTCTCTCCTGGAAGTGTTGGAGAGGAGAACACTTTTAAGAGCACATAATTGAAGTCGCGGCGATGTATTTGGAAAGATAAGGCTTGTTTCAAGTGGAAGCATATATTGGGTTGAGCATTCGTGTTAGGAAACTTTAGTTAGTTCGGTGCTCTCTAGCATCTATGCGTTGGTACAACTTGTTCACTCAGTTAAGATAATGAGAAACTTACTGGTAATTAATGAACTGAGGTTGACTGAATTCTTCCTTATGCAAAGCTGTAATTTTGACTAGAATAAGAACAAGTAGAATGACAAAGAGTGGTTTCCCCAGTAACAGGGATGGGTAATTCCTTTTGTGGAAGAAATTGCTTCAGTAGCTCCTAAAATCTATTTACAAATAGCTGACAATAGGTGATGTGAATTTGAACATCTTTTTTTATTGTAATGAGGCTCTAGTGCTGGCAATCAGACCATCGGAGAAGATTTATCTTAAATCATTGACATTTCCTATTGCAAGCTCTCGAGGGAGTAAATGATAGTATATCAAAATAGTTCCCGCTGAAACTGAATGGAAATTTATTAACAATGCTTAAGCATTCAAGTCTCAATTGTCACATTGTTCCTCCCAACCATTACTTGAAGCTGAAATGTGGACATTCAGCTAAAGAAACACACTGACTTTTTCATTGGAATCTGAGAACTGCACAACAGCAGAGCAAGGGACCTTTAACTGTAAATTGCGGACTTTGAATAACTCTATCCAAACGTTGTTGCTTCCGGCACAAGGAATGTTGATATATAATTCAAGTGGAAGATTTCAAAATGCTGGTGAAGAATGCTGGTTAAAGGCAACTAAATACCATTATGGATCAAGATGACATGTTTTGGGTGGTCTGTAAATATGCTCTACAATGCAGTTTATTCGCATTAAAATTGCTTCCTACAAGAGTCAAGCAAACTTCTGTGCTCGCTGAGATTTTAAGTGGCTTCCCACTGTTTGACATGGCACCAAAATCCTTCAATGCCACAAACTGTTTCTGAGCAATGAGGTTGTTGTACATGGAACAATCATTGATTGGACAATGTGTACCTACGTGAGAAGTTTTAACTCGGGAAACTGTTTGAAATGCAAATGCCAATTACATCATACAAGAGATGGTTTGTCTCTACTGCATTCTGTGAATAGGCAAGTGTTGTGACTCATGAGAAATAGATGTTTTGGAGTATATTTACTCACATTTTTAGTTGCTACTAAGTTTTTGTGCAAAAATTGCTTGCCTTTTTCTTTTAAATTCAACTTTTATTTCACTCGTAAATGGCACGTAGAAATGCTCTGATGATTGTTCATATCATCCCTGTTTATGCAAAGCTTCTTTTCAATCCAGGCCCACTTTCCATGGTGCGTATTTAGCTCTTAATATACAGTTTCAATTTGTATAAAAACTCAAAATTGTATTGACTGCTTAGTAGGTGATTTTTTCTTATCTAATATTCATAACTGGTTATACGCAAGTTTCTTAAACCATACTAAAGTTTTAGTTTCTTGAGATCAATTGAATGGATAGCTGTCTTTCAGTTCTTTGTTTTCGATTCCTTGATTGATTGCCAGGCACTCCATTCCTGTTGTGGTGATTTAGCATTTGCCTTCCAACTGCATCAACAATTAATAACAAGTTTATGGCTGTTTTTACCCCAATAATCTCTATAACCTTGTTTTTGAATTTTTACAGAATGTCTGCTTGATTACAATGGATCTGTAGGCTTTAGGTCTTGCACTTGTAACATTATATTTTTCTTTATTGATTTGTCAGGATCAATTCAATTATATTTAGAAGTTTTGGCTTTACTGATTTTTAAGGTGCTTTACAATGGAGTATTATCAAGTGGTTTGTGTTTTTTTCATGCTACTGTGCTTTCTTGAATATGACTGTAAAATTCATGCTAGGTGCTGAATATGAGTCATTTCTGATGAAATTACTTTTGTCTCTACCACCGGAAGATCTCTCTCTCTCTCTCTCTCTCTCTCTCTCTCTCTCTCTCTCTCTCTCTGTGCTTCTATGAAGGGGTACTCCAGTGTCACTAGTGATAGATTACTGAATTTCTCACGTGACTTTTTTTCTTTTCATTTCAAAAGCTATAGTGTATTACATCCTAATGAGTGCCTGTGGGGCACATGTGAACGAAATCCTCGACATGATGGTTCTGTACAAACCGGAGAGCAAGTATCTCTCAAGCATGCACAGCAATTCTTGAGATGGTTACGTGAGATAGTTATCATAGTGGTTTCTGAGTTTTATCCCCCATTATATATTAGTGGTTACTGAGTTCTATTCCCCCTCATGTTTTAAGAGAAAAACCATTATTAATTACTGATTCTAAAGATGAGCAAACCATTGTCAGTATTTTATGCACGGTCTTTTTCAAAAGTAGTGGTCCTTGTTGTAGGGTTCAAGTATGTCTAACCTGGGTGTAATATAATGTTGATAGGTTGTCTAACTATGGTTACTATCCTGTAATTGTTCCTTTTATGCTTTCTAGTCTTGCTTATTTGTCATATTGTTGACAATTGCTGCTACATTTACTCTGCTTGATGAGCCCAGTTGCCAGCATCATGTACCTTCTGCTTGATTGGATAAAAGCTTTCCACAGGCCATTGCGAGTTGATTGAGGAAAGTTAGATTAGCTGGCTTGGCAGGCAGCTTCATCATTTATTATGTGATTGTTCCATTACCTTGTTTATTAATGACAATATTGGTGCAGAAAAGCTTGAAAGTCCTTTTTATTGGTAGAAAAGCTTCAAACTCTAGTGATTCTAGGATACATCTTTCCACTGCTGTGCAGATTATTATGGCTCTGTATCTGTTGTTTCCGTTTGTGACTCGCCCTCATTGCAAGGACAAAATGATTGGACTAGATGGTTTATTTCATTTGTCCTTTTTCGTGGCTAAGAGGATTTTAAGTTTACTTAAAGCTCCGTTTCTCTATGTTAAAGCTTAGTCACTGGTTTTGGGAATCTGTAAGATTGTTGATGGCACTGGCAGAACTCTTGCAGAAAGGAAATTAGACACCTTTTAAGTTTTTTCTCCTCTTGTAGAGTGAGCGGTCTATTTACTCATTGCTGTAAATTTTCTTAGACAGTTATGGTCAGTAAAAACTACAGCATTTGATGGGCTTTTAGAGCTATATGCAATGAGCCATGGATGAATTTCCCGTAAAAAAATAAAATAGTTGAATTGACCGAGTGCAACACTTTTGAGTGATTTAAAATGCTATTATGCTCATGTTTCTACTGACGTGGGCTGTTAAGTGTGAGAAAAAGTTGCATGTTGATGTTATATATCTAAACCAAAAGCCAAAAATTAAATGCCAAACCAATTCTCAAGTTGAATTTCTGCCAGTGGCCTCAGACAATTTTCCTCCTGTATGTGGCACATCCTTCATAACTGCAATCTGTACTATCGTGCTATTCTTCAATCCTATGTCCTTTCTAGATTAGTTGTTGTCTGTCTTATGTTCAATTTTTTTTTGGTCGAAGTTTTATGTTCAATTTTGACAGGCATCTCCTAGCAAAATATCCATTGACCCTGTATGCATCCGAGTTGTAAAAATTTCTAGAAACATTCTTGTATTTACTAGAACATGCGTTATTGAGTATGAAAACTTTTCATTAACCGTGTCAAGTCTGGGTGTATTTACTATGAAAAAATATCCCACTTATGCTGATTAGAAATTGCTTGGTGAGATTCCTTTGTGCAGCTTGCCAGGGTGAAATTTGCTCCCAAACTCTGTGTGTGATAAGTAAAGTAATTGTGCTTCACTTCTGACTGCTTGTTCAAAGGAGTCCAAAAGTAGATTTAAAACTGTACTTGCTTAACCTTTTCTTGGTTACCTCAATGATCTTCATGCTCTGGGGCTGTTTTGTTTGCATTGGGGGATGATACTGGTACCCTGTACTTGATTGGTCAACTTAAGTTCTACTTGCTTACATGATCTACCGAAACAGGTGAAGCTGTTCCTTTCAGATGAAGCTCCTGTCCAAGTTGGGGTTAGTGCTCAAGACCACCTTCAGGCCAAGACCTCGTGGCTTTTGCATTCAACTGGAGTCGGCTCTGATGATGCTCTACCTCCTGGTTTTGAAGCAGCCCATCCTTCCAATAAGCTACAGATTAAGGTGTCTGAAATCCCTCTAAGCAAATGGAAGTGTCCTCCACGAGTAAGTTGCCCCGGGGTTATCTTGTAAACCTTGTTGTTCCATCCTTTTTTATTTAATGTCTGAACCTTTATTTGCTCTTTTTGATTGATGCAGTTCTTGCTTACTGCCGAATGGCAAGTAGTTGCTGGGGAGGAAAGCAAAGAGGTTGATGTTCAAAATCAGAGGGAGATGAGAGTGCTAGAAGCAGTTTATCCTCGTCCATCTGCCATTCCTCAAAAGTTGGAAACCTATCTTTTTATTTTTTTATTTTGTTGGCTATATTTACCTGTAATGTTGCTCTTCCACAAACTTACTTTTTACCCCTTGCAAGTGCAGTCCTGTGGCTTCATCAGACTTGCATGATTTTGATCAGAATGGTTCAAAAATTCCGTTAGTGCCAATTACTCCCATTGAAGATGAAGAGATACCGGGAGATGCATCATCCGACGTTGTTCCCCAACTTGGTGTTCCCGTCACATCACATCCATCATTACTGGTTTCTGGAGTTAGTCATCCACTTCAGACCACAGGGCCTGTTGTTGCAAACACTGCCACCAATCAGAACCTTACCGCTAGTACATTGCATGGTGTAGAACCTGATGTGGCGGCAGCTGCATCAGCTGCCTTCACTGCACTAATGAAGAGCAACGAGCACGGGAACATGATTGACCAGGAGTTACTGATTCAGATACTGAGTGACCCCAAAATGATCGAAAAGTTGGTCAAAGATTACGGGACCATCACCGAAGCACAGATCCCAACAAACACGTGGGGAGGATCAGCAGTAGGTCTCTCAAATCCTCCTAGCTTTGTCAGTAGTGTAGAAACTGGAATGCCTTCGGTAGCTACTTCTTCAAGCGGGCTCTCATACTCTCACACAAGTGGGCCGTCGTTGTACTCTCATCCTACTGGTGTCAGAATGGGACCGCCGCCGACTGCACCGCTTCCTCCCCAAACGGTCATGCAAGCTGCTACTTCCTCCACCATCAGGCCAGCCACACCAGCAAAAGATGTCAATTATTTCAAGAGCTTGATTCAGCAACATGGAGGAGAAAGACGAGAGACTCCCCAACAGTATGGTGGCCCTTACGGCCACCAACCGTTGACAATTCAGGAACCCGCCAGTAATCCTAAATTAAGAGAATCAAAGGGTAAAATAATGAAGCCTTGTATATATTTCAATAGTTCAAGGGGGTGTAGAAATGGGGCCAATTGTGCGTATCAGCATGATATACCGCTCCAGCCACGCAGCAGTGGCATGGCGGAGGCGCAAAATGGGAAAAGAATGAAACTTGACAGGGAGATCACAGGTACCTAAGAGGAGAACATGCTTGTGCAGAAACGTTCCTGCATGTACATTTTTCCTGATGGCAGGGCCAATTGCGGCCCCATTTTCTGCTTATGTTGCTTGCCTTACAAGGCAAAATACTGTCTCCAGCAATTTTTGATATTTTTCAATACAATCGGATTCAGCTTCGAAAAGCTTGTGTGGAAAGAAAATTCTCTTTGTTGTTTTTGCTTTTTATTCCTCTCCTCTTCTTCTTCTTCTTAAGAAATTTTCTTGCTTTTACAACCTTTTGGTGGAATTGACCGACTAGTATTTGGATATTTATAAATTAATTCAGTGGAAAGAAATTTCAAGTCAATTGTATATCGCACACTTGTAATTTTTAATGCACAAGAACTTATTATAGTCCTAAGGATTGGATTGACATCTTAATTTTTACCACACCCAGCACCTTGTCATTCCTCCTCTCCCTTCTTACATCCGTGACCGAGGTTAGCTCAATGCTTTGTGCTCCAACCATGTGGTCAATTGAAATAGGTCTTGTTTACTAAGTTTATACTCCATTATGCCAGCAAAAATTTCTTGAAAAGATGTACTTGGGGAAGTTATTATTTTGCAACTTCTTCTTTTTAAACCCAAAATCGGAGAATTCAATGTATAGTTACGACAATATGATTATTAAGGAGCGAAATTTTAGTCCCTATTACACTTATCAAATAATATTTTTCGTAAAAACATAAGAAACTATACCAATTAGTTGAGGGGGGATCTCAATGGAATCATAAAACTACATAAGCATTTTTCATCAAACCACCAAAGTGCAATGTCGGAACAATGCACAACCAAATTCCCCCCCTCCCCAAAAAATCATTGACTTACACCCGTGATACAAATACTCGACTTTTCAAATCATTAGATCAACGAATTTTTATCTCAGGAACAAAAACTCATGTGACAGATGACGTGACAAATAGAACCGACACGTATGACAACAAAACACATGTCGGCTTGAGCCAAAAGATGCCGTGGATACGTCAGCAACAGCCGGACGATGTTGTTTCTAGCTCTTCTCAATATGAACTAATTTGTTTCACATACGTTTTCAAGAGATTCTTGCAGTCTACAACCGCCCTTTTCGTTACTGTTCTGGTTTTTGTCTGAAAAATGTCACCGGGTTGGGCCCAGAAAAGCAACAGTCTTTGGGACGGGCTACGACAACATTCGAGGTCCAACTTCTCCCATTTTTACTTCAGTCGCCGGAGCATCATCGATCCGAAAGGAAGCCCCTCCTCTCTCTCTCTCTCTCTGCGTGCAGAAGAGCGCTTCCTCAGTGCGGTCCCGGGTCGCGCCTGACGGAAGATGCTGAAGTTTCTGTCGAAGGTGAGGATCGAGTTCAATGCGCTGGACCCGCGCATAGCCTCGTGCATGGAGTTCTTGGCGCAGTGCAACGCCCGCAAGGCCAAGGAGTCGAACCCGGCGTGCCAGGTGCTGGTCAAGCGGCGCACCGACGACCACCCACCTCAGATCGCCGTCACCTTCGTCAACGGCGTCGAGGAGGTGTTCGACGGCACCACCACCACCGCCCAGAGCATAAGGAGCATGATCCTCGAGAAGGGTCAGGTGCTGGAGACGGAGCAGATGTTCCGCGAGGCCGGCGAGGCTTGGCCCGTCGTTATCCCCGAAGAGGAGCTGCGCCAGCACGCGCCTGGCACTAAGGTCAGTGAGGAATCTCGTCTCTGCTTTGGTTTATGGGTGTTCTCTCGCTGTTGCATTGCGTCGAACATTTGGTGTGCGGGGGATCTGTGCTCAGTTGATTTTTGATTTCTGATGTCCTTGATTGCGGATGACTTGGCGGTATCCCAATAGTTCGAATGGCGTCTGTTTTTGTCAAAGGCGAGAACTTTCATGAGTCTCTGTGTAGGAGTTATGAGGGGAAAAATGATTGCATTCGCCATATTGTGGCCCGTGTCTTTGGAAATGATGGCTGATTTCGTGAATTCGTTAGCTCATCTCCGGTTTAGAACGAGAACGTACTTTGGTTGATAGTTTTCACATCTCTAATCGTATGGACATACCGCATCCATGCTCTTTGATCTTCCTATCTGATTCTTGGACGTGTTAGGTAGTGCCTATTTCCTTTTGGGGCTCCACGAAACGGAGGGCCGAAAACTTGAGAGGGAACATAATAGTGAACAGTCTATGTTGCCAGAAATTGCATTCCAATTAATTCTGCAGCAAGTGGAATGTGGAAAAGAGCAGGGGAGAAAACTAGTTGGTAATTTCAGGAAGTCAAATGGAAAATAGGTTATCTTGAGGACATTATTGTTAACAATGTAGATTGTCAGCCAGTTCATAGATAATGCCGAAGTTGGGTGATTACTTATTCATTGAGTTTTGGCATGTCGGACGTTTTTACTGGCCTAACATCTTTTGTGGGAGCACCTTTGATTTGTTGTGAGCATCATGTCTAGCGCTGTCCATTGGTTTGGTCTAGTCATTGGCATTCGAATATTTTGAGGATCTGGGAAGAATATGCAGGTGGCAGAGATGTGTTTCAATCGAACCTTTTCAGCATTGTCCAATGAGAGCAGGGTCGCATCTCATAATTGTAAAAAAGGCACAGTTACTGTAAATTTTTGTTAAGCATGTTCTTGTGTGCGATTCTTGTCTTCAGGCCTTAGTTGATACCCCCTGCCTTAAAATGAAAAAAGAAGGAAGTTGTAGTAAGTTTAACATAGATACCATAGCACCTCGTAGCATATTCTATGTTGAACTTATCCGTGCATGTGTCTATAAGTTTCTTCAACCATTTTCATAGCTTTAGACTCTCAGTGTGAGTGTCAGCCAAGCAAAGTGGTTTTGCCATCGCTTTTTCCTTCCAATCTCTATGCAGTGGAGCATTACCTGCCATGGAACCATATTGACTGTCTTATCTTAATACACGTAAGCTGCGTCGAGCTCATGCATTCTTATGTCTTGTTCTACAGCCAAGGAAGGCAGAGTAGCAGCAGCAGATACAGCGGACTGTGAACGTGGATGAACAGCGAGAGCCATCAGCTGAAACGATGTGACTGGACCTGGTGTGCTGCCAAGATGGGGATGACTATGTAGAACATTACGTCAAAGATTGTTTCCTATGCTAGCTTGTGTCGTTCCTGCTCTTTCGGCAATCTTGCTTCATAAGGTTTCAGAAATTTGAGTACTCGTCCGAGATGCCAATAAAGAACAAAAAATTTCCATCTGCTTGTTTTGCTTCTATTTTTTCATGGTGATGAAAAACTTGTCGAGGTTGGTGGCCATGTTTAGAAGTGAGTGCTTTTTTTTTTTTTTTGTGATAGCAATTTTCGCCCTCAAAGTTAAAAGAATTTGATGCTGGTGTTGTCTGTCTGAATGAGCATCGCAGGACATGTTTGATGTCTTTCGACTCTAGTTCATCCTTCGTCGAGGGGATGAAGTTGGAGTGATTGTTTGGAAAATGTGTCGTGCGCATTAACTTTTGTTGCCCCTCAGAATGTATAAATTGAGAATTAGACGCACTGTTATGTAAGAGCCTGAATCAGATCAGCGATCAGGACCACTAGCTGGCGGATCCATCATTTGTCCAATCCACCATGACCGAGCTAATTGTCGACAAATTATAGCCAAAGCCTTTTGTTTTTCTATAGTTGATTCGAATAACACCTGGAAAGAGTCTGTAAAACTGGGCATTTTAACTCCAAAAGACTACATTTATAAGACAGCTCCTACGAGTGCCGTTGCTAATCCAGAAGCAAAAGAACCAATGGAGAAGCCTTAAAAACCTGGACCTGCGCAGAAAGTGCCCTCTTGTCACTCGAGTCGGCATAGTTCCGACAAGCAGAGATGCTAGAGGAAGTTTCGTAGTCACTTACGGTCATCAAACATGCAGAATCATACAAATGGGAAAACAAACACAACTGGGCGGTCATACACATGCAACTGGCTAAGTAGGCAAGGATGTGTGCACAAGTATCCGGTATGTACATGTGCCTCAGCTGTCAGCACTGTCGTTGAAGGCCTAACTGATTCTGCTTCGAAGTTTAGCCACGTCGAAGGATTGGCATAGTCCCGACCGACCTTCAACCTCTAAACCAACGGCAAGCAACAAAAGTCAACTGGATGAACTTCACCTCTGAGATTCGTGTTACCGGTCTTCCCGCTGAACTCTGTTCGGATCGTTCATCATGTCCATCATCATCTTCTCAGGTGAATCTTCCCAGCTGGCAAATGTCTTTAAGTCGACCTGCGCAGGATGTATTATAGTGTTGAATTGTCAGTCTGTCACCTAGTATGTGCAACTCTGGCATGCAAAACTCTTGTGACTTTAGATAAGGTTATTGTAGCCTTACCTTGCGCCTCTGCTCAGTAAAAAGTTGTTCCCTATTCTTAAATAAAACTTGCACCTCCTTGGCTTTTGTACCCCCTAATCCCCAAACTTCAACTTCTGATATAAAAGCATCAACAGGAAGATATCCCTACAACGTCACAGATCCACTTATGAGGGATAAAATTTCTTCAATTTCATTATGTCATAGTTAAAAGAGCCTCTCACTGTCACTCAGCAATTGTTCTGAACAAGTCGAGAGAGAAAACAATACATTGTTGAAAAGGGGAAACCAAAAAAAAATAAAAACGTTCAACATGCATATGTACCTCTTATCTAGGTGAAGAGAATCACGCTAAGAAAAGGAATCAACAGAGTATGATGATCCTAAACTCGTGCAAAACGACTTCAATGGAGAAGTCACCTCGATATGCATACGAGTCTTCTCAAACCATATTTAGAATTATAGCTTGTGAAAATAAGTACCTACCTGATTTGGGAAGAGGGGACCCGATTGATAAGTTTTGTCCACAGCATGATGGCGAAGAGTAATTCTAGCAAAATCTTCGTCAATAATTATTCTCTCATTGCCTATGGTTCCTCCAAACCCAAGTCCCACAGGCTTTGGATGTGGCTCATATACTCTTGCAGAGGGATGCAAGTGGGAATATACGAAATTCTTCTCCTTACCTGATCATGATATCTGGGCAATTAATATTAATTCCATCACCAGTAAAAATTTAAGAAAAAATGTTATCAATTGTCAGTCCTTCTAGCTCCTATACCAGAGGGTAAATATGCACTGAAAAGCGGATCGATAGCATAGAGATTTCCAGGGCTTCCATAGAAATGATCCCTACTTTCAAAGCCCTGCTGTATCAGTACACCAATGACCCATTTCTTGTCTCTAGTATTAGTCTCGTGAGAATCTCCAGAATAACCAGAAACCAACAAAAGCAGGGGACCAAGATAACCTTCAGTATTCGACCAGAATCTGTTCAAGCCTTTCCCATGGAGAGATGACCTGCAAAGAGTCAATAAAAGATGTTATGATACAGCAACCATCAAGGGGGATAAAGAGTTCGGCAGTTTGGATCGTGAGAAGTGCAGAGATACTAAAGCCACAAACTTCATAGAAGCAACATTACTTAACAGATGAAGTTTCAGCCAGGTATATATATATATATATATATATGAAGGTAATGAAGATTTGAGCATCACTGGTTAAATACAATAGATGCAAAATTTCCGTCTGCCCTCCCAGACAGTAGACTCACAAAATTATGTCCCGGAAATTGTGCACTAAAAGCTTGCTGGTTTTTCTGATGCCGCAAGATGACAATATTTGAAGCCTTTAACAGCAACATTTTCCACTAAGTCTTTGTGGATGGTAAAATAAGATCAAAAGGAGAAATGGCCAACCTATATAGAAGGCTTTCTTCTATCTTGTCACGATTGCTGCAAAAGCAATGTGTTAATATCTCTTCCCTCAATGCATTTCTGACTGTGAGCGAAATAGCCCACGCCCTTCCCGGGGTAAGTAGATGCGCACCACATGCCTCTACTGAAGTGATGTCCCCTGATGATGAATTTGAAGGCTCCAGTTCATCCTGCTATTTTTTAAAACGAGAGTAAACTACCCATCCCTCCGGCAAGCATATAATGTATATAGATGGCGATTGCGTTAAAGTTCAGTTCTAACCACTTTGATGAACTACAAATCATCAAGAATGCTTCGTGACATGGAAAACGATACCAAGAGTAAATGAGATTTGAGAGAAAACCATGGAAGAGTTAATGCTTTATCAATGAACTTGAATTATCATGCCACATTGCTTGGTCCCTAATTGACAATGGCTCCACTTTTTAAACTCTACTAATTCACACAAAGCAGGAATCATATAATACAGACACTTGAACCAATAAGAACATCTACTGAAGTCATGGAAAGTGACATCACTGGCGGGAAAACGTGTTGCAGATTTATAGACCAGATAATCAGATGGCATTTCACATCGCCCTTCAGAAGTTTAAAGAAACATCAAAAAGGATTATTTGTCGCATAGTACAGCTGACATCCCTTAGCATCTGAGAATGTCTGGACATGAGGTTAAAATGTGACCTTATGAGGTAAGGATGTAAAGTGGATCTAACATATCGCACAAATAAAGGCCAAAAACCAGAAGATATGATGCACTTCAATTTCCAAGCGAGATATTAGCATCTCCCCAACAACAAGCAAGAGAGATAGGAAGCAGAGATCGAGTAAATGAACAAGAATAAGTGAAAAAGAAAAGACACTTTATATTAACGTCCACCAACATCCAAAATTAGCCTGTATCACTCAAATAATAATTCTACTCCTTTATGTGGACAAATTCTACGAGAACAAATTAAGCCTTTTATAAGCAATCAATCTGTCATTCTCGGTCCAGTCATATGCAGGTTCCCTTGCAACTAATGAACCTTAGAACTGATACAGCCCCTTATTAAATTAAATAAATTATATGAACCAAAACGCCTGATGGTAATCGTTGACAGTTAAATGTAATGGACAGATTCACAGGTAGCAGATGAAAAGAAATTATGCAATATCCTGTAATTCACAGTGCCCAACAGAAATTATGTAAATGAAATCTAAGTGCCACATATCAAAGGAAACACCTTCCTCCTAAAAAATTTTGGGAACAACGAAACCACCAAAAGATAAACCAAGTACCTGTGAAATGGTAGAGTTTCCAAGACGTTCATGAACAAACTGTGAAAAGCAATCTGGGAGAGTCGGCACCGTCGCCAAAGCCCAAGCAACAAACTTCCTGGCGGGAAGCTGAACTTCCGAGCCCAAAAAGTCGAAATTCCACAAATCCAAACTACTGCCATTCTCAACACATGACACCACCGCCGACGAAACCAGACAACCAATATCCGGCAGAAACAAGGCCGCCTTCCCTTTAGGCAACTCACGAACCTTACTACTCCACAACATAGTCCAGCACATCCAGAGAAGCATCAGCACGTCCGCAGGCGTAAGATGTCCCCCTACTTTACAATGATCAGCTTCATCAGACTCAAACTGCAAATCCACCTGATGCCCCGCCTTATTCGCCGCCAGCGCGAAAACTCTCAGCAGATTAGCGAGCACCATCGATGCGGCCATCCTCCCGCAGCACTTAACATAGCCTCTCACAAACTCCACCCAACTCAATCCACCCTTGTCAGCCACGAAGAACACGTCAACTATAGAAGCCCCCAAGTTTTCCAGCAACCCGGAAAACGATTCCGGCGCTCTAGGCGCCGAGCGAATCGGCTCGTCAAAGCACAAGCTCAAGCAGCGCTGAGCCAATTGAGCACACACGTACGTTTCGCGACCAAATTAGCAACCTGAATCAACTGCGAGCGCGCCGAAAATGAAACGAAAGCATGCTCGGGGACAGATCGGAGTACCTGAAGAGAGGCGACGGGAACCGCGCTCGTCTGGGGATCGGCGAGGTCGGCGAAAGCCTTGCGGAGCATCGGGAGAGCGCCGGCGGCGGCGGCGAGGGACTCGATCTCCCGCTGCTCCGACGAGACCTTCCGATCCGACGAAGACGACGCTCCCATTATCCGCTCTTTCTTACAGAGAGAGAGCGAAGAGAGAGGGCTTCGAAGGGAAAGCTTGCTTCTCGTCGAAGATGCGTAGAACAATGGAGGTCGCAGACGCCGCCGCCGCCGCCGCCGCCTTCGCCGCTGCCTTCGCCGTCGGTGATCAATCGAGCCGAACCGACGTAGATGGGCGGAACGAGACAGTGCCGTTTCGTTCCGATTTTCGCGGGAGCGGTGAAGAGGGAAAAAAAGAAAAGAATAAAAACGACGATGACGTGGATATTTGTGAAGGCTCGCCGTTCTCCGACGAGTGACAACTAAGGGCGTACGAAAATCAAGTCTTAATCCACTAACCATTGACTCATATTTAAACATATGAAAATATGAAACATTAACAAAATAAAAAGTCTTGATTATGGATATAGCCGGAAATAAAAGATTAGATTAGTGATTTCAGATTATACATTCATTATCAGGCTCTATGAAATATCACGGGATTGCGCGAAAATACGAAATAAGAAAAACACAAAGATTTGTTCCGAGTTCCATTTGAAATCAGTAACTTACCCGTCAGAATCGATTTTTCAATTTTTTAGAACTTGAAACCTATCTTGCATGCCGTGAAATCAAATCTATTCTCCGGCTTCCGAACTTTTAAATTGTTCAATGTGATCCCTAAACTTTTGGTGGATATTCAACTTAGCCTCCCGAACTAGATGAAAATGTTTAATATTGTCCTTTCATTAATTCAAGTTCACGGACAACATTGAACATTTTCATATAGTTTAGGGACTAAACTAAACTTGTACCAAAAGTTTATGGGCCACGTTGAACAAATTGAAAATTCACGGATCACATTACATATCGAGTTATAGTTCAGAAATCATGCCGAACAAATTAAAAATTTATGGACCGCATTTTACATTAAGCCAAAGTTCATAAATTATTTGTGTCATTGTCCCAGCAATAAATGTACATCGGCCGGGTCGATCTTGTTGAGCACAGTAAAATGCCCGTGAAATCTGACCCCAAATCCAACCAACCCACTGTCCAAACCGGGCACCGACAGACAAGACAAACTCTGTTTCTTCACAGAAGTCGCCGTGTCCTGAATTTCATATTCACTCTCCCGGAATCTGCACATCTCCACTTGCTTTGCTCCTTCGCCCTTTCCCCCACTCCCCCCACTCCCCCACCTCAAATCTCACTCGCTCCGCACTCCACCGGCAGCCCGCATTCGCCGCCGGCGAGAGCTGCGATGGGGTCGGTGTCCCTGAAGATAGGCGACGGCACCGCCAGGTTCAGGCGGGCCACGATCTGCTCCTCCGCCGTCAACCTCCTCATGCTCCTCTCCGTCGTCGCCACCAACATCTTCGCCCTCTACGCCTTCACCAACCCCAGCGCCGCTAACCAGTCCCACCACCACAAGAACATCTCCCTCATCTCCGAGCAAGTCACCCTCATCCTCCGCGAGATCGCCTCCTCCCAGAAGAAGCTCGCCAAGATGGAGAAGGAGCTCCTGGGCTACGAGAGCATCGATCTCTCCCGACCCAACATCGCCAGCGAGCTCAAGATGTTCCTCCAGCCGCACTCCCTCCCCCTGGGCAAAGATTCGAGGACCGGGATCACCGAAATGGTGGCCTCCGTCGGGCATTCTTGCGAGAAATCCGTCGACTTGTTGACCCAGTACATGAGCTACAAGGTGTCGGGGCCCTGTCCCGACGATTGGAGCCTTGCCCAGAAGCTGATTCTGCGTGGGTGCGAGCCTCTGCCTCGGAGGAGGTGCTTCGCCAAGTCTATCCCCAAGGTGGGTCTTTACCCTTTCCCTGTCTCTCTCTGGAAGCCGATTAGTGACAAGGTCGTGAGTTGGAGCGGCCTTGGTTGCAAGAGCTTTGAGTGTGTGAATACTAAGAAGTCCACTAGGGAGTGTGCTGGTTGTCTTGATTTGGCTAGTGGGAATGAGAATCAGAAGTTTGTGAAGGCTAAAGGCAAGAATGATTTTGTCCTCGATGACGTGTTGGCCTTGGGTGGTGGGGGTATTAGGATCGGATTCGACATTGGAGGTGGGTCGGGTACGTTTGCTGCGAGGATGGCCGAGAAGAATGTGACTGTGATCACCAGCACATTAAACATCGATGCCCCGTTTAATGAGTTCATTGCGGCAAGGGGTCTATTCCCTTTGTTCTTGAGCTTGGATCACAGGTTCCCCTTCTATGACAATGTGTTCGACATAATTCGGGCATCGAGTGGATTGGATGTCGTGGGGAAGCCGGAGAAGTTGGAGTTCTTGATGTTTGATGTAGACCGGATCTTGAGAGCTGGAGGATTGCTGTGGGTGGACAATTTCTATTGTGCCACTGAGGAGAAGAAGAAGACTCTGACCCGATTGATCGAGCGGTTCGGGTACAAGAAGCTAAAATGGGTCGCGGGAGAGAAGCCGGATGCATATGGGTCGGGCAAACCGGAGGTATACTTGTCTGCGGTTTTGCAAAAACCGTTGAGGGTATAGCCCCTAGGTGCTTTTATAAGTGTATTGCAAGAGGTAAGAAGACAACTGCTAGCTAGCTCAATTTATTCATAGATGAATTCGTTGCCCTTGATGCGCTATTGGAATCTGTTAAAACATGGAATAATACCTGTCGATTGTACCAGTGTACCACTGCAAATCAGTAGTGGACAGTTATAAATCGGTTCTAGAACATATGTGTTGCTGTATTTGATTCTGTATTTCCTGAGAAGCATTAGACTCGGTGAGCTACTAGATGACAAACATTAGTGCCTTCTTAATGCTGCAAGCAGGCGATTGTAATTTTTTGACTTTGTTTTGGCATGGAAATTAGATTTCTCTCGCTGTAGCCTGCCATTGCTTATGAGCATATTTACTTGACTCCCTTTGTTGGTACCTGCTGTGTGGACTTGCCAACAATGGATTACTTGAAACACAGATTGCTATCAGCTTCAGGCAAGATGTATCGCACTGTTTGTGACCATCTGTACATATATTTCCTGGAAATATCATAAGCAATGTATCTCCCTATGAAATTCATGTAGCATAGAGCTTGGGTTAGATAAAACTTTGCTTTGAGCCGACATTAAAAACTTACAGTGCACATCCTTTATAATGCCGGTTTCTTTCTGACCAATCCAGATACTTTACCAACTCCAGTTGACATACTATTGCTGTTAAATTTGTCTTCATGCTGTGATTCATATTTCTCCTCAGAATGCTCTATGGTTTTCTTTTTGCCCTTTTGGGATGAGATGTCCTTGCTTCTGTGACTAAATTATGGTAACGACGCGCAATTTCAAGTCTATGATTTGCACGATCAACGTGCGGATAGGGAAAGTAGAATCAGGGCAAGCATGCACAATGTGGTCAGAGCTGTTCATTTAGGGGCTTCTGCAGAATCAGCAAGATAATCGGTGTCTTTCCTTTGCAGGGACAATGGTTGGGTGAGTGTTTCTCCTGCTCCCTCGGAACTTTCTTTCGCACTCACTACAAGAGTCAGAGAAATCGATTTTCTTGCTAGCTCTCTTCGCATGTTCATTCCGAGGATCGGTGATTAGTTGATTATGTAAACAACTAGGAGTATGAGTGTCCTACGGAAAATTGGCAAAGCAAGCACTTTACATTGTAAGCAGGTATCTAAGTACCCGCGACTCCTTTTGGTAGGGGAAGACGAGGGTAGAAAAAGAGACGGCGATTGCACAGGGCGCTCAACTCCTGTACAAGAATACAAGTAGACCCCTCTACTTGAAAGGATTGAAGAATCTGACTCTGTGATTGAGTGCCCTGAAATTGTTTGTCTTTAGTTTGAATATTTGATTGAGTTTTCACTGGAAAACATGAAACTATACTGTTCTGGCTGGCACTTTGGAAAGGGTATTAAAGGCATTTGCGACGCAACTAATTAAAGAAACTTTACAGTTTTCAATGCACTGATTGTGCTTGTGTAATGTACAATTATTGTCTTGGAAAATTGAGTTATTCCAAATAAAGTATACTAAACTAGTGCTTCGGGAACATTCTCTAGCCATGCCATTCACTAAACAGGCGGATTATTCCATTTTCTGCATAACATGTAGCATAATTGGCAGCGACCCCATTAATTCTCCGTGACATCATAATAAGAGATATCGAGTTGCAATCCAGTAGCTGTAAGGGAGTAGGGTACTCGGAAAACCTGGAGCCCTGGCAAAGAAGAAGCGGTTCGATACCTATTGGTCGAGGAACGTCCCGATAATGGTACACCTTCTCAACATCGAATGAGGGACGGCACAACACAGATCATCTCTTGAACATGTGCACATGCGTTCAAAGCGAGTTGTGCTTAATCCCTACACGAAAATGTGTGTTGGGGCGGGCTGACAAGTCTACGAACTTCACAAATTGGGCTTGTTTGCTCGAGAAAGGAAGGGTACGATGGTGTGCGGTCTTCTGATCATCGAAGTTAATCACGATTACTCGTCAAGGTTAAAAACCTATGCTATCTAGGGGTGTGCAACCGGACCGGGTTTACCCAGAAACTAGATCAGCCCATCCGAAGAACAGGTTTGGAAACCGGTTCCCGTTTGAACCGGTCCGGGAACTAGTTCTATTTTTTGAGAACCGGTTAGAACCGGTCCTGTTTCAGGTTCCAAGTGAAAACCCAACCGGACCAGTTTTAGAACCGATTTTATATGGAGGTCTACTTGCAATTTTATATGGCCAGAATTCAAAGCATTCTATCATAAAGGATGAGGGAGGTGATCATTATTTGCGAATAGTTTAACTTAAGGGCTTGTGAGTATTATAGGGAGCAATTTCCTTTTTCTTAAAATTTTTGTTCTGTAACGAAGAAACTACATATTCAATTGGAACTTATGCTATTTTATCACGTCCATTAAATTATTGGGACTAAGATAATATGCTTTTGTATGAATACTTAAGATTGTTTGCATAGTCAAATTTATAACCTTTGATTTGAGTTATAAGTTTTCCTATTTGCTACCCTAAAAAAATGAAACCAAAAAAAGGAAAAAAAAAAAGGGGTTCTCGAGTAGACCCTGTAACCGGACCGAAAAAATAGGGTAAGTTCCAAAACAGGGTCCAGGGCAAATAGGATAGGTTTCAGGTTCCAAAAACTAGGAACCGGTTATAACATGATCGATTTCAGATTTCAGGTCTGGAACCGACCTACCTCGAAACCGATCACCCCTAATGCTATCAAAGGATAGGATCTTCAACAAAAAGAAGGACTTTTGAACACATGGAGGGCTCCATGACCAGTCGGGACCCTCGCCAATTAGAACGCCGCCTGGGAAATACTTGGAGAGGAATAAAAGATGATCTGCAAAGGACACTCAATGTTGCTTTTGGTGACATCTGAAATTACGAAAGGTCTTAAAGCGTTTCCAAACAGACGCAAAACTTTTACCAAATATTCGATCGGGTCCTTTTAATTTCAGCAATTAAATATGAAGAAACGTGCGATACCGCCAAATGTCGAGATACGTCGAAAATTTTACCCAAGGAACTTGAATAAATATTGACTGAACGTCATAGGACTTAATTGCTCCAAGAGTCAACTTGCACTTTAGGGATGGATTTTAGGACTGTTGCTGTCATGATCCGAAGTTGTGTTTCTTCCCGATTTTCCTGGTACCTTACGTGAGCGTCTTGCAGAAGTCCAAATCCCATCCCATATATGGGCTTCAAAGCCCATGTATTAGTGGGCCTAGTATGCATATTGTCTTCCCCAGCCCTTTGCCATGGAATTGAATATGTGGGACTCTCTTCTTTTTCTTTTCTTTTGATGCACCATCAACGCAGCGAGCGGATTTAGGTTCGAATCGTTGTGGTGTAGTTTTCTTTTGGGTTGATCCAAAGAGTACGGACCCGTGCTTTGAGTCCCGCGCTCGTCGAGATCGGGGAGTAGCTATATCCCGGTTTCTTTGAGTTATTCAAGAGAACCGGATTAAAGGGAGGATGTTAGGAAGGAAATTTCTTTGAGCTTTTCAAGAGCGTTAGAAATGAGACCGTTATATACATATGGATGGTTCATGATAAAATCGGAGTGACTTTTATAAGGTTTAGAAAATGCTTTTCCAAAAAGTCCAAATTGGTCCGTTCCTTCGAATTTCCTGTTCTCCCACGCGCAAATCTATCGGAAGGAAGTGGGGCGACTCTTGTTGAGAGGAAAGAGATCGTGAAAGTTATGGGAATTAATCGGGATACTCGAGCAACTTCGGAGATGCATGGAAACCCCAAAAGGGCATTTCGTTGACTGGAAACAGGGCTGATATTCTTGCCTCGATGCTCTGCTTCTCTCTTCAAGCTGAAGAGCCAGTGAGTTTCCATCGTCATCGATTGATCACTGTGACATGGACAACCCTAACGTATGCACACATAGATATTGCTGGGACCAAGGTCAGTGCACCGGGTGATGGTATAAGGGGAAAAACCAATGGAAGCATTTCAGTTTGCGAATCTTGTGAACCCCAAAAGAAAAGCAAGAACAAAAAGAAGTACTGGGAGTCGCATGTCAAAGCGAAATGCTTGCAGAGAGACGATGAAAGGGGCAGTTCGAGTAGGACAGGCTTTGGTCACTCGTGTGTCCAAGATGGTGAAAGAATCCAGAAAAGCAAAAGAGTGAATGGGTGGTCGAAAAGTGTCGACGGAAAACCTTTCGAAATATGGATCGATGTGAAAAATCGATAAAGGATATGAAGGGTCCATTGAAGATTCTTGGACATGAAATGTAATTGGTGAGAAAATTAAAAGTACAAAGACTAGAAACAATCGTGTCCAGCCATATAAAAGGGTATTGAAATATAAAGATATACTGGAAGTAAAATTGAATAACTAATATTCATTGATTGATTTGTGGTCATTTGCACAAATTACACTCCTAGTATTTGTTGCCATTACCAACAACGATTGTGAAGAAATGAAATACATTTTTACGCAACTCGGAATTCGGTAACTTGGATTTGCAAACGGTTAATCAACTCCTAGACACAACTCTGCTACCCGATGGTTGCTCTTCCACTCTTCACATTCAACATCACCGGACACTTTGCATTTCCTCCAAAACTTTATCAGTTGCAATCACCCATATTTCTTGGTCTCTATCAATAGTGGCTTCCGAGATCCATGACATCCACTACTTGATGATAATGTTAGTTTCACTTTTCCATAGCTATGTCAATGTACCCAAGCGAATTGTGTTTGAGATTATCGGCCCCATCACTGGGATAGCTACTTTGCATCCAGCTCATCCTGAGTCACGTTAGATGTGGCCGTTTGTCGACTAAGTCAGGCTTTACTCACCGATGCTCGTGATTTGGGACTTAGTCTTTCCATGTTATATTCTTCGTCAGCTAGAACCGTCCACTTTGTTTCTCCCCACAGTATATATATAAAACTTTGTTGGATCAACTACATATACTTACCGACTAAGAACCTTTGCCACTTCGCAAATTCTAACACGACCGTATTTTGCTTGGTCTTTCTTAGCCCAAGTCGACAGTCGAAGACTTGGGCATTTTTTGGTGCCAACAGCAGTGCAAAAAAATTATGGCACTCTCGAGTACTGTACGGAAAAAAAGTACCGTATGAAAGTTATGTCAATTGAGCTGTCTTTATCCCGGATTTTAAGGTACCATTTTTGTCTTCCACATTTCTGAAGTAACCAATTACCTTAAACCATCTTTAGGGTTTGGTGCGAGGCGTAAAATGAAGTTCGAAGATGTGGACCTTCCAAAAGTAATCTCTAGATGGTGTAACTCTCCGGACGGGTAGGGCCTGGCGGGGCTAGGCCCACAATAATCTCTAAATAGAACTGTATTGAACTGTTGCCCACCAAATCATGACTTGGACACTCAAACTCCTATTCAGGCTCTGCTTCCTTCGAACTCCATCACCTGCCATCATCATTTCCATTCTCTTTGCAGTCATTGTTGCATTAACTCAATTCGTTGTTGATCTCTAGGAGAAAGTATTTCATGCGACGACTTCATGTGGCAATGCTTGGATCCCGGGTTCCCGTTCTATGACGATGATGTATTCAACATAATTCGGGCATCGAGTGGATTGGATGTTGGGGGCGAAGCCGGAGAAGTTGGAGTTCTTGATGTTAGATGTAGACCGGATCTTGAGAGCTGGAGGATTGCTGTGGCTGCACAATTTCTATTACGCCAGCGAGGAGAAGAAGAAGGCTCTAACCTGATTAATCGAGGGGTTCAGGTACAAGAAGCGAAAATGGGCCGTGGGACAGAAGCCGGATGCATCCGGGTCGGGCAAATCGGAATCATACTTGTCTGCGGTTTTGCAGAAACCGTCGAGGCTGTAGTCCCTAGGTGCTTCTACAAGTGGATTGCAAGAAGTAAGAAGACGATTTCTAGCTAGCATAATTTATTCAAACACAAATTCGTTGCCCTCGATGTGTTATTGGATTATGTTAAAACATGGAATAATACGCGTCAATTGTGTTGACATTTGGAGTTAGAGAAAATAACGATAAAGTATTTATGGTGACTCGACTACAATTAGGGTTGCAGGATATGTATTTATAAGAGCGATTAATTACAATCAGAGAATGAACTGAACATAATTACGTTAAGGTTCAATAATACATATAAATTAAGTGTTAATACCCCTCTCAATCTGAAGTAGGTGTAACAACCGATAAATTGTATTTAATTAGATAGTCCCTTAGTAAAGATGTTTGCCGACAGATCTGTTGTAGACACATAGCGAACACGTGATTGCTAGAAGCAACACGAAGTATATGACAAATCAAAAAAGCCTCCAGCAACATAGTCAATCGCAGCACGATATTGAAAAAGTTGGTTAAGGAGCAATGAAGTGGGAGAACACCGCTCAATGAGCAATCTATGGGTGAATGTGC